GGAAGCACTTTATCTGCCCTCCCATTCTAAATGCTAGCTTTGCTGGATAGAGTCATCTTGGATGTAGGTCTGGCAAAGATGGAGGAGGCATAGGTAGAAACACTTAGCTTCCTCACACAACCAAAAGGAGGATAACAACCAATTTAAGAACAGTAAACAACCTATTTAAAAACATAAAAGAAAATCAAACTGAATGGAATTTCAACAACCAAGAAGTTAAAGAAACATTCATCCAGACTGTAGGAGGGTAGAGACAGGCAGCTGAGCAGAGAGGATGCACAGCAAGGGGGTGGACTGAGCAGGTGAGGAGGGGCTGGCTGACTGGTCAACTAAAGACTCAAAAAACCCCTGGCTGTAAAATTCTGTGGGGGTTGTGAAGATGGGAGAAACTCCCGGTCTCACAGGAGAGGTCACTGGAAAGTGGGGCTAGAGTGGGGCAAGTGAGTGGCATTGTTCCCTCTCTGAACCCTCCCCACTTACAGCACCACAACACAGAAGTGGGTCACCCCAAACTGGAAAATACCTAAGGCTCCGCCCCTTACAACATAACAGGCCCTTGGAGACAAAGAAATATGGCCCAAATGAAAGAACAGATCAAAGCTCCAGAAAAAGAGCTAAGTGATAAGGAGACAGCCAACCTATTTGATAGAGAGTTGGGTAATCAGGATGCTCACAGAATTGACTGATTTGGTCACAAAATGAAGGAAGAAATGAAGGCAACACAAAGTGAAATAAAGGAAAATATACAGGGAACCAACCATAAAGGGAAGGAAACTGGGACTCATATTCTACTTTCTAGAGGACCCAAGTTAAGAAATTTATGTGGACTGTAATTTCTACGGTCACCACTAAAAGAATAAAAATAGAGTATATAATTTTCCAAGCTAGTTGAGGAAAAACCTAGAATGGTAGAAAAGAATCAATCCAAAAAAGGCAAGAAAGAAAAGAAAGATAAAGATGGAATGGTTGAAACAAATAACATAAAGTGAGACATTAGATTTAAACCCAAATATATCAGTAGATACATTTAATATAAATGGACTAAATGTTTCAGTCAAAAGATAGGCCAAATTAAAAAGAATATGAAGTAAAATGTATACACTTAAAAGTATTTAAAATAAATCTATTTTTCATAATGAATTTTAAGTATTAAGAAGTTTTCTGACTTCCAGCAAGATGGAGGCATAGGTGGACGCACCATACCTCCACGCACAACCAAGATTGGAACAACAACAATTTAGAGGCAGAATAACACCCAGAACTGATAGAGAATTTATCTGAATGGAAGTTGGACAGCCAAGAAGTTGAAATAGACCCATTTATCCAGACAGGTAAGAGGGGTGGAGATAAGCAACTGGGCGTGGGTCTCGGCACGCGGAGAACAGGGAGAACTGGGCACATAAGGCAACTGCGAGTACATAAGACATCTGGGGAGCACAAGATCGCAGCGGGTGGACCCTGAGTACGCAAGCAGCAACTGGCGGACCCAGTGAGGCGGCAATTGTGGAACAGGGCAGAGAGCGCAACCCAGGATCCCAGAGAAGGGACTGAGGTCCCAGAAGAACAGAGCTACCACCTTTGTTCCCTCCCACCCCCTCATACAATGTCACAATCTAGCAACTGGGGTGCCCAGCCCTGGTGAACACCTAAGGCTCCGCTCCTCACCGTAACAAGAACGACCAGACCAAAAAAAGAGAAAGAGAGAGAGAGAGAGAGAGAGAGAGAGAGAGATGGCTCAAACAGAAGAACAAATCAGTGCCCCAGAACGCATCCTTTTGAGCAACCAAGAAATAGCTAACCTATCAGATGCACAGCTCAAAACACTGGTGATCAGGAAGCTCACAAAATTGGTTGATTTTGGGCGCAAATTATATAAACAAATGCAGGTTACCATAAAAGAGATGAAGGAAAATGCACAGGGAACCAATAGTGATGGGAAGGAAACTGGGACTCCAAACAATAGAGTGGACCAGAAGGAAGCAAGAAACAACCAAACAGGAAGGAATGGAGAAATAAGAATTCAAAAAAATGAGAAGCTTAAGAAACTCCAGGACATCTTTAAACATTCCAACATCCGAATTATAGGGGCACCAGAAGGGGAAGAGGTAGAGCAACAGGTTGAAATGTATTTGAACAAATAATAAAGGAGAACTTCCCCATTCTGGCAAAGGAAATAGACTTCCAGGAAACCCAGGAAGCTCAGAGAGTCCCAAAGAAGTTGGACCCAAGGAGGAACACACCAAGGCACATCATAATTACATTAGCCAAGGTAAAAATGAAGGAGAGAATCCTAGAAGCAGCAAGAGATAAGGGAACAGTAACCTACAAAGGAGTTCCCATCAGACTGTCAGCTGATTTCTCAAAAGAGACCTTACAGGCAAGAAGGGGCTGGAAAGAAGTATTCCAAGTCATGAAAGACAAGGATCTATATCCCAGACTACTCTATCCAGCAAAGCTTTCATTTAGAATGGAAGGGCAGATAAAGTGCTTCTCAGATAAGGTCAAGTTAAAGGAGTTCATCACCAAGCCCTTATTTTATGAAATGTTAAAGGGACTTATCTAAGAAAAGAAGATTAAAAAAAAAACATGTATAGTAAAATAACAGCAAACTCACAATTATTAACAACCACACCTAAAGCAAAACCAAAAGAAACTAAGCAAACAACTATAATGGGAACAGAACCACAGAAATGGAGATCACATGGAGGGTTAGCAACAGGGGAGTGGGAGGAGGAGAGAGGGGGAAAAGGTACAGAGAATAAGTAGCATAGACAGTAGGTAGGAAATAGACAGGGGGAGGGCAAAAATAGTATGGGAAATGTAGAAGCTGAAGAACTTATAAGTATGACACATGGACATGAACTAAATGGGGGGATGTGGGAGGGGGGAGAGAGTGTACAGGGTGGAGGGGAGTGAAGGGGAGAAATAGGACAACTGTAATAGCATAATCAATTTAAAAAAGTAAAAAAAAAAAAGAAGTTTTCTAACTAATCAAACAGCACAACTCAGAAAGGCCTATTATTCAGAAAGATTTCTAAGGCTAAACAGTTTCCTGCACTATTGTAGTATATTGTGCAATTCGAAAAAGAAATTTAAAGGTCAAAACTAACAATCTTAGATCACCATCTTTATTTCTGTAATCTTAAACCAGGATTTTCTTTACAATTGTAAAAAAGAAAATTCCTCCTTAAGCCTAATGAAAATATTCACCTTAACCTAATTAATTATGCAAATGAAACCTAAAATTGTAGAAAGAGATAAAGTAGCCAAAATAAGGCACTGAATATTTCTTTCATACACAGTGAGGGTGTGTGTCTAATATATCTCTAGTAACTTTTCAGTAGGTGACTACTCGTGACCTTTCTTCTGAGTTGGGTGTGGGGAGACAATACTCTGCTCATGTTAAAGGCATCTCCTAGAAGCCACTGACACCTCTGCTGACGGAGCAGAAGGAAGAAGGCAGCAGTTACCTAGATACCTAGAACTGAAACCGGTTTGCACATAAAGGATCATTTAGGTATGACTCTTGGGAGAAAGATCTGTCACTCTGGTCACACTATGTTTTTTGTGTGTGCGTGTGCACACTGTTAAAAATACACATTCCTGGGCTCCATCCAAGATTTATTGAATAGACTCTCCAGGGTGAGATTACACTGTCTTTATTGATAACATACTTCACTAATAATTATTATTTCTAAAATCATGAATATCATAGTGAAACTCGATCTAGAATGACTGAACTTAGATTTAAAATAAACGTACTTTTGCTATGGAGACTTGATTCACTCTCACCAGGGTAGACCTTGAAAAGAGCTCTGCCTCTAATGGTGTATCTGCATTCAATCTGAAACAGACCTCACCATACTTTCTCACCTAAGTTTTTCTGATGACCTATAGTGGGAAAGTTGAAGAAGATTAAGTTGATAGTCCCTGGGTACGAAGCTCAGTGAAGCTGACAGGGACAGACACCACAACTTTCTTTAACTTAAACTACACGGTAAGTCAGTCTGATACCCAACGACCAAAATAGTGGTATTAGATATACTCCACTAAGTTAAAGTTTACCGATTACTACAGAAGAAGCTTTAGAGTAACAGGTTTAGCATGTGAGAGTGAATAGGTTAACAAGACCTTTTCCTTCACTGTATGTGAATCACCTTCAGTTAAGCTTTCTAGCTCTATTATGTGGTAACGGATAAAGGGAGGAATGTGACTACAAGTTTGGGCAACTTTGCTTCTGGTAAAAATGACTCCTGATGACTAAATTGTAACTGTACTGGATACACTATTAATAATCTGATAAGAACCTCATGCCCCAGGCTTTCCTGAGTGTGGTGACTCTTAAAAGCAACATGTCCCTTATTGAGGACGTGGAAGTTGTGTTTATGGAACTATTAGAAGAGATCTTGGCTCCTTGAGGCCTATGGAGGAGCTCATCATCGTGCACCTAAAATGTGCTGGCTGCACTGCTACAAGGGCTTCCACTGGCAGCCTGCTGCTCCTGTTTAATATCCTTTGGAGTGAACTGCCATGCATGGCCACAGTCATCTTGTGAGCTTGAATGTCTAAGCCTAAAAAGATCCCTGTCAGTTATAGCCACAAATAACTTCAAGTGCATTAATTATATAATTACATTCTGATTGTTTAGTTAAGTCAAAAAAGATCCTTTGACCTGGCTGGCGTAGCTCAGTGGATTGAGCACGGACTGTGAACCAGGTATCACCAGGTTCAATTCCCAGTCAGGGCACATGCCTAGGTTGCAGGCCAAGGCCCCCAGCAACTGCACATTGATGTTTCTCTCTCTCTCTCCCCCCTTCCCTTCCTAAAAAAATAAATAAATAAAAAAAATCTTTAAAAAAAAATCCTTTGTCCTTTATGTGAGTACGGTAGTATATAATTTCAAATGTATTAGTTTCATAAGTATTGATTAATTTTCATCCTACACTGATTTTACACTTACACCTAATTTTCTTTTTACACTAAAAATGAATAAAAATGAGTAAGTCATTGAAATTCTGTATTTAATTACCAAACAATGAAATTATCACATCAATTTAATCATTATAATTAACTTAAAATGACTGAAAATGTTATAATTCAAAATGATAGAAAACAAAATTAACTAAAAGAAGTACCATTGAATTCCAGGTATTTCTGTGATGACACAAATTTTAAAATTTAATAAAATATTACATTTTTTTGGCAAAAGGTTCTTAATTAGATTTTCCTTTTAAACTGCTTTTCATGTTTTAATGGGAGCTTCTAAAGAATCATTTTAGTTACAGTTGCACATTTCTCTTTAACACATTCAATGTGTGCTATGTGCTGGAATCAAATACCTGAAGGAGCTGGCGTATTATGAATACAGCCAGGACAACAGTGGAGAGAGTCATGAACGAAAACATCACAGTCCACACAGAAAACATTTTGGCACACAGTGCAAACATAGACCTGCAATAGAAAGAAAAAAAGTAAATGCCAACAGCAGTTTTGAAAGTTAAGCAGAGCATAGCTGGGAGACACTCAAGTTGCTTTGCTCTTTCGATTTTCTTATATCAATTTTTCCCACCTGCTTTATTACTTCCAATGTACTATATATTTTCAAGTCTAAGTCAATTTTATTTGCAAAAAAAATATTCCTTAGAAATGAGGGAATAACTTTGAGTCCTTAAAGTCTTTTCTCTTATAGGATACTTTCAATTGTGTCATTTCAACTAACTGGCAAAGACACATGAGCTTGAGATTAGTGCTAGTTTTGAATGCTTAAAAAGTCACCTGACTCGTTTAATTAAAAAGAGAAGCACAACAATGTAACACACATTTAGTTATTCTTAGGGAATGAATGATCTCAGAATCACAAAACCTGTATTACCCTTTTAATTAAACCAGTAAAGAATATGGCATGCCCTGGTTGGTGTGGCTCAGAGGACTGAAGGCCAGCCTGCGAACTAAAGAGTTGTCAGTTCGATTCCCAGTCAGGGGACATGCCTGGGTTGCAAGCCAGGTCCCCATTTGGGGGCGTGGGAGAGGCAACCAGTCAATGTTTCTCTTGCAAATCAAGGTTTTTTCCCTCTCTTTCTCCCTCCCTTCCCCTTAGATTTTAGAATTTTTTTAAATCTAAAAAAAAAAAATCCTGTCAAATAATTCAAAAAGTAGTTTCAGTGAGGGTGAAGCTACTGACATCAAAGAGGCAGGTGAAAAAATACAATTGTTTTATAAAATGTGAGAGCAGAATAAACAAACAATCCTTTCCACTAATATTTTATATACTTTATAATGTATAGTTTTAAATATGGACATGTAACTAAATTAATAAAAAATTAAAACTAGGCCATTATCTATATTATTAGTGTCTTTATATAAGTTTATACATTCAAACTGGCCCCCTTCAAAATTTTTTAAATATTATCTCATTGGCAAAATGAGGGAATAGCCTCTGGTCTGTGGCCACCTTAAATGGTAACTTCACTTCAAAATGGGTTATGACAGAGCCTAAAGCACAATAAGAAAAAAAACATTTAACACTTCAAAACAAAATGCAGTTTTAGCTTGCAAACTGAAGACAGTTTAAAGTACTAAAATGTCTTTGTAGCAAAATTAGAATGCAGAATTACAAAACAACTATTTAAACTATTGTGCTACCATTTTATCTCTTCCTACTGTTATACTTCTGAGAACAACCTGATATGAGTCTAGTCTTCAATAATTTACTGAAAACTTACACTACTATTTTGTCAATATTTCTTGTACAATATTTAATATTTAGAAGGAACATGAACTCACATGTTGGTCTTTCAATTCCCCCTGACATCCGTAACAAAATCTGAAAAAGTTTAAGAATCATTCTGTTTAGAATTTACTCATTAAAATAGCTCAGCAAAATCTCAGACACAAAATCCTTTAATTAATAAGTAATTTTACTTACAGTTAATTTACACATGACCTTTAGGAGAAAGAGTTAAGGATACTCCTTCCTTAAGAGTTAAGGAAAGAGTTAAGGATATAAGGTAATTTAAGAAAAGTCCATATTAAATCTTGAAGTTATCTTAATAGCCCAAAATCTTACTTTAAAAAAACATTTACTTTTCTTTAAGAAGGAAGTTGGTCCTAGTGATTTCAGCCCATGCATTATACAGGAAACGATAATAAATGTGTGGTTCATGTTTTTCTAAAAGGCACCTGAAAACTGCTGCAATATGTTATGTACAAAACTGGTTTATGCCACATGAACAGAATCACAAGTCTGGTTTTGGTTCATGTGTTCCTCTTTGTATTCAGTTGTATTTTACTTCCAAATTCAAAATGAGTAGAAAAGCTGTTCTGTGTCAAATCATGTAAGTAATAAATGTTGTATTTTAAAAATGGCAAAAAAAATTTTGTAATTTCATCAAGATTAAACATGAGCATGCTCTCCCAACTGGGATTATATGAGGGAATTAAACCCTACAGAAAATTATTTGAGTAATTATTTTTCACCTCTCCCAAAGATAATAGACAGCTGGTACAAGTCTAGATGGACTGGAGAGAAGTTAATTTATTGCATATAATAGATGCCTACAGGCTTCAAGGAATGGAGTCAAAAGTTCTCAAGTCAAAAGTTCTCAAAACTTATTACAAAAAACAACAATTTGTAAATTACAAATTACAAATAGTCAGTTCCCTGACTATCCACTCCCACACTTGTTCCCCAGAGCAAACACTTTCAAAACTGAATTGTCTGACAATAATCTATGCTTACGTGCTCTCTCTCCATTTTTTCAAGTACAGTGGCTATGAACCTCTTACTACGGAAGATGAGAATTTAATTCTCTCTCAACTCTCTTGAATCAATAGCATGTACATGCACAACTAATGTCATTCTCAATTCTATGTAGTTAAATAATTTTAGATAGAATAATATTAAATGTTTAGTTTATTTTGACTAAACAAACTACATATATGTTTATATAAACATATTCAGCTGAGACATGTAATACAACTTTTCTTCTCTTTTAAAACATTTTTTCCTGGACTGAATTATTATAGTTATTCACAAGCTTAGTTTCCTAAGGAATTACCATTAACTCAGCCCCAACCTTTCCCTACAAAGCCTAAACATCCTCTTATATGTTCAACTACATCAGCAGTTACATAGTTTTTGTCCTCCTAGTGACCTCTCTCCTGAAGCATTCTAACTTTCTCCAAACTGAACTGACAGTTCTCCACATGCGACACACAAGCGTTGCTCTGGGGTCTCCCAGGCCTTTCTTTAGCCAGTTTGAATTAGATATTCCTACTCTCCTTCATCCATTCTTTCTCAGTTCCATTGAAACATCTTTTCCACAGCTTCCTCAGAAAGTCTCTTTTTGAGACAAGTCTGAAAATGTCTTTATTCTACTTACATTTAATTGGCTGGGTACATAACTTAGGTTGGTAATAGTTTTTCATTCCAATTTTGAGAGAAATTGCTCCTTGTCAGCATTCAGTGTTACTGATGATAACACAATCTTAATTCCAGATTGTGTGACCTAATTTTTCCTCTCCAGAGATGTTTAGGATTAGTATTTTGCTGCATATTCTGAAATTTCACAATGATATACTTTAGTGTGGATCTACTTTCCTTCAATATGTTAGACACCAGACAGTTCCTTTCAATCTTTTAATAGTAGAAAATGCCCTTGAACTATTTCTCTTCTATCCTTCATTTGATCTTTTCTTTATTCTTGTATTATTCTAATATTAGACCTTCTGGATAAATCCTCCAGTTTTAGCAAATGCTAAAAATCAGGGCTTTTGGGTTTTATTTTCATTTTGGAGAGCTGATTTATTAGTATACCACCACTCTCACTACAATATATGCATATGTGGGTTTAGGGAAATCACCGTATTTTGTGCTCCTGTGTATAATGTACACTCATGTTTTTGACCCAAACTTTCAGGGGAAAAAAAACTTTTGTTTTAATTTTTTAATTTGTTTATTTATTTATATTTAGACACTTGCTTTTCATATTATAAAGGAATTTTAGCATTTATTTCTGAGCATGTTATGTTACAAGAAATTTTATGTAACAAATAATTATAAAATACAAGAATAGATACAAGGTATTTCAAGTACTACCCACATGTAATGTGCATGCTTATTTTTCCGTCAAAAATTTGGGTAAGAAAGTGTGCAATATACATGGCAAAATTCTGTAATAGATTTCTGGAAATCCAGATCTATTTAATAAGTGATTTCGATCATAATCAAGGCATTATACATCTCATTTTCTATATTAGAAGTAATTTTGTCCAAGTTAATGTAACTTTTTAAATGCAGTAACAATGTATCAAAACACTACCACTGATGCATATACCTTTCTCCATTATGTTCTTCTAGGGGAGTTTCTTGAAAAGCATCCAAAGGAAATAAATGATGGTAAGACCGTGCCAAATGGGGAGCAGACACCAAAGTAAGACCTGACACAGAAAGCAGAGAGACCTATTTAATAGCCCAAACCTTATAAAGACAATAGCTGAAATGTCAAATGATACAACTTATGCTAAATAGTTCCAAGGTTTTTTTTTTTAACTACAGCTATTCGTTTCTTCAGTTTGCCTGTGGTCATAGAAGGAAATTCCAACATGGATGAGGTCTTACTTGTCACTAAGTGTGTGACCTCTCTGTGCCTATTTAATCACTAATAAAATAAAGTTTTATAATTCTGGTAGTTTAATCCCTCATTCTTCTTATATACATTTACTTTATGAAGTTAAGAGCTACAAAAATGTCTACTGGGTCTGCTGCATTTCCTTTAAAGAAAGAAATCAGGAAACTCTTAGGGAATAACCAGGTTTATTCTTGGAAATGGGGTACTGGGCACTCAATAAAAAAAGTAATCTATTTCTCTTCTCACTTTAAACCCAGAAACATAGATAGGCAGAACTAAATATTTACATCTATTTTAATAGCAATACAGGTAAGAAGTTATGAAAGGTTAGTTTACTGAAAAATAAACAGTGGGTTTCTTACCACAGATTTTACATTCAACAGGAAGCTCACAATACTTTGCCCGACACTGTGGGCAGAAATAGCCTCCTAATGTAAGTCCTGGCTCAGTATTGCTATCCAAATGCCTGTGGGGGGAAAGGTTACTTTAAAAACATGATATATAAAGATGTGAACAGTTAGAGCAAAAGAAAGTATGCTACCTTGATTTTAAAATCATGAAGTTGTTTCATAGCTCACTTAGGTTCATTTTTGTTTTTTTTTTCAGTATATGCATTTTTGTTTTGAATAGTTTCCATTAATGTCTTTGAATTCACTAATCATTCCTTCTTCAGTGACTAATCTGCTGTTAAATTTTTCATCTTACACATTATATTATTCATCTCTAGAAATCTGATTTGGGTCTTTTTACTGTCTTGTATCTCTCTCATCATGTTCATCTTGTTCTCCTCTACATTCCTGAACATATGGAGTTTATATATAATAGCTGTTTTAACCCTTTGTCTACCAATTCTACCAACTGTGTTATTTCTGGATATGTTTCCATATACAAGGACATTTTCCCCCTTGTTATGGGTATTTTCTGACTTCTTTGAATGCCTGGTAATTTTTGATTGGCTGCCAGACATTGTGAATTTTGCTTTGGGGTAGTAGACTTTTTTTTATCCCCTTAAATACGTTGAGGCTTTTCTGGAATATACTTAATTAACTTGGCAATAGTTTGATCTGTTCAAAACTTGCTTTTAAGCTTGTTAGGCTGCCCAGAGCAGCTGTTGGTCTACAGTTAACCTGGTTCCCTCACTGGGCTCTATTCAATGCCTGTGTTAAGAGTTCTCTCCAAACTGAATGGTGGGAATGTAAACTATTCCTTGCCCCATGTGAGCTATAGGGATTGTTCTGCCTGCTCCTCTCCACTGGCTCCCTCCCTGGCCCCGGCAGTTTGCTCACAGAAATGTGCTGATCAGCACTCAGTTAATGACTCATGGGGAAGTGTCTGCAGATCTCAAGAGCTCTGTGTACAGCCTCTATTCTCCAGTACTCTGCCCCACAAAACAATAACCATTTCAGCCTCCCAAATTCTGAACTTACTTTCTTCAACTGAGCAAAAACCTCCAGGCTCTGTGTGGGTTTTCCTTCTCTGTATTGCTGGCTGGAAATTCTCTCTAGGCAGTAAACTGCAATCATTGGACCCACTTCATTTGCTTCCCTTCTTTCGGGGATTATTATCTGTACTGCCAGCTTCCAATCTCTGAAAACTGTTGCTTTACGTATTTTGCCTGGTTTTCTGACAGGAGGCAAGAGGGTAAATCCAGTCCCTAATACACCTTTATAGCTGCAGACAGTAGTCTTATTTGTAATTTTTAACAATTACTTTCTTTAATTTAATTTTGTTTTATAATTATGTAAAATATAAAGCTCCAAAATTAAGACAAGATATATTCAGAAAACTCTATGGTCTACCTCTTTGCTTTTCTTCACACACCATGGAGGTAAATAATTTTTTAGTTTTCACTTTTGATTTCCATTACTATTTTTATTATTAATATAAGTAAGTATATCTACTCAAAATTTCTACCCTCTTCTTAGATGACTGGTAGCATACTACACATTTTTCTCTACCTTGTTTTACTTAGTAATATTACCTAAACACTACTTCATAGGAGTATGTGGAGATCATCCTCACTCCTTTTTACAGCTATATAGAGGGTAATCTTTTATAAAAGCCATTATATTTCAAGCCCATCTTTTAATTTACAACTTAGTAGAAAAAATAAAATATAAAAACTTTACCACAGACAGTTTCCATGTTTTTACTTACGCCATGCTGAAAGAGGGTTTTGCATCTTGATCGGACAGAGAAGCAACTGTATGCTGAGGAAATCCTTCACAGAAGAAAACGCATTACTTTCTCTTTCCAAGCAAAAAACAAAATTCTAGGGCTGGGAATCTAAAAGTGCTTCTTCTCTTCCCTGCCTTTTAGACATGTTTATTATAGCATGGTCAAACGGAGTACTCCAGGTTACAAGAAAAAGAGTCGGGGAAATGGGGAAAAGATCTGTCCAGAAATATAGCCTCAGATTCTCAGTATTTTCTAACTTAATAACAATGAACATGTTCTGCTTTTTAAAAAGAAAATGTTTGTAATTTTCAAATAGTTTCTGGCACAACGGAAGAATCTATTGCATAATCTACTTTCACTTTATATATGTCTATAAAATTTTGGAATGCCCAAAAACTTAGCTTGTTTTCCACATGTATTTTTAAATTAGAAGTCTAAGGAAAAACAGAAACCATAAACAAGATTTTATTATATAAAAATGTTAAATCTATCTACATATCAAAACAAATAAAACATAAACAACCAACTGAAAAAATATTTATGTCGGGTGACAAAAAATAGCTGATATTCTTAAATGGCTCTAACCAATCAATTTGAAGAATAAATTATTATAAGATTAAATAACAGCTTTAAAGTGGACTAAGGAAGTATATCAATAAATCAAAACAGGTTAGCCAACATAATGTCTAAAATGTGCTGAGTGTTTATGTCAAGATTATTCTAAATCTGTATTGACTCAGTCCTGGCAACAACAAGACAGATGCTAATCTCGTTTTTACAGATGAGAAAATAGGTTAGAGCAGTTGATCAGTATATAAACGGCCCAAAACAAGACAGAAAAGTATTCTCTTTTACTGACAGTTAAAGAAATGCATATGAAACAAGGAGATTCTTTTAAAATTATGTTTCTTTCCATTATAGATATAATAAATGTTCATTATAAAATTTTTGGAAAATAGAGGAAAACAAAATTTTTTTTGAAATGAAGCAAAAGCCATCTTTCTCCCTCTCCCCCAAAAAATCACATTAAACAATTTGATGTACCTTCCTGCAACCTTCTGTCTTTGCAGTTTGTATTACACAGTTTTGATCAAACAGTACAGAGAATTTTGCAGCTTATTTGTTAAATTTCCTAATACAACAAGGATATTTCTAAAAATGCAGTGTCTTTATACCTTTCATGTCTTAATAATAAAAGAAAGCCAATAGTGTTTTGAGTGATAGGACTACAAATGGTTTTAATTTTCTTTTTCTATCTCTGTAATTTTTAAAAATTGCTTCAACAGCACAATTTTCTCTTATTATAAAACATTTAAGTTAAAAAAAAAATCTTAAATGTTGCCCTGGCCGAGTGGCTCAGTTGGTGGGAGCATTGTCCCATACACTGAAGGGCTATGGGTTTGATTCCTGGTCAGAACACATACATAGGTTGCGGGTTCAATCCCCAGTCAAGGCATGTATAGCAGGCAACCAATTGATGTTTGTCTCTCATGTCATTATTTCTCTCTCTCTCTCTTGCTCTGCTCTCTCTCCCTTCCTCTCTCTCTACAATCAATAAAATATATCCTTGGGTCAGGATTAAAAAAAATCTTAAATGTTAAAATAACTCGTGCAAATGAAAATAGAAAGTCTAGTTTGGGCCAAAATATATTTTTTAAATGTCTATTTTAAAATCACACAAAATAAACACTTACCCATTCGAATAAGTGAGCATTCAGAACTTGAGCTAGCAGGAGGAGGACTAACATGATGCGTTAGCAATTCTTTGTAATGGCTTTCATCTAAAATAACATGGTATGTACCTAACAAGATGAAAAGCAAAAGAAAATAAAATCAGCTTCCCAGACATAAGAATGAATTACATAATTTCTAAGTAATTCTGTAAAATTTTACTACCTGATAACATACATCTTCAAAATAAGTATTTAAATTAAATTATAATTTTTCAAAAACCTTTAAATAACATCTTTAGATTGACTTCTCTAGGAATAACTATGATTACAATTTTATTAAAAGTCAAGTTAAAAGATCTTAACAAAGCCCTGGCTGGTGTGGCTCACTGGATTGAATGACGCCTGCAAACCAAAGGGTCACAGGTTCAATTCCCAATCAGGGCACATGCCTGGGTTTCAGGCCAGGTTCCCAGTAGGGGACATGACCCCAAGAGGCAACCACACATTGATGTTTCCCTCCTTCTCTTTTTTCCTCCCTTCCTCTCTCTCTAAAAATAAATTTTAAAAAATATTTTTAAAAAAGATCTTAACAAAGTATTACATTTAGTGAAATTTCTAGCTTTTCTAGAGTTATACTTCTTTTTCTGAACACTAACATAGCTTCTGAAAATTCCTTGCACTCTGATATGATATTAACAGAATCACTGATATATTTAAGACGATTACCCATATTTTGGATTTCAGGATATGAACTGATTATGGTGAGCAGTTTAAAAAGAGTTTAAAACATCCTACTTTAATTAACAAATTGTTACTTCTTACATAATAATTGTGAGTAAATATTAAAGAACTCTAGATAAATACCACCAGTTTCACGAGCAAGCACAGTGCAAACCCGAACCTCTGCAGACAATCCAATAATAGACACTCTAATTTTAGTTGCCTTCAGGGTCTTCATAAAATCCAAGTAAATGGACGGTTTTTGGGGGGAAAAAGCATTGAACAATTAATGTTTTTGAAAAATGAATAGAATGCTCTGAAAAATAGTAATTAATTTGCTACAGAATTTTCTTTGACGTTGTAACTTTGGTTTGATTTAAAATGAATGGCCTACCTTAATTAGGTCATAGATATTAGATGGATCGCAAGTTGTGAGGCTGCTGAAGATGATTAGGACTTCCCTACTTGTGTGTCCAGGCATGTGTCTAAAGAAAGATAAAATGCACTCCATTTAGGTATAATTGGAGTACCTAATCACACTAATGAAAAGTCTACCAAAAAGGATAGTGTACATGGTTTATACATTTAGACTCTAGAATATCTCTCTCTTTCAAGATTACAAAGGAGTGAGTGGAAATCTCTTTTAAGTTCTGGGGACACAGTGATAAACAAGACTGACAGAAAGTCCTAACGTCATGAAGCTTTCATTCTAGCAGATTTGTTTCATACCAAATCTAAAGGGCACATTAGAAAGTATGACCATACCACACAGATCAACTTTAAGATGTATACATGTGGCGTAACAACAGTAATGTACTTCTTTCTTATTTAAAGTCTACAATTTAACCTCATGGTGATTCAGAGTCATAATAATAATAATAATAAACATTTATTTGTATGTACCATTTAATTAAATGATGGCTTATTGGATTTTAAGATGTGATAAGCAGTTATCCCCTATACTAACTGGAGATTTCTACACTTTCAGAAGCAATTTTATCAGTTATTTATAGCCTCCTTGCTTATATCTTCATTGGTAGGCTCTCAGCTTTCACTTGTGGATGCTGCTATTGTACCTACTTTTATTAGGTACATTACCTACTTATCATCTACTTCTAAACTAGAAAAATATCTATCATGTAAAGGAATAAAACTCTGAGTCAGGATAGACTAGCCAGGGACAAAATATATAAGCTTTAACTATAATGAATACTTCCTATCAGGTCTAAGTTATATTGCACACAGTTGAACTTGGAAAAGAGTGCTATTAATTTACAGATTATAAAATAAGCTAATAAAAGTCAATAAATATACAACAAACTCAAAATTACTATACACAATGAATTCCATATACAATCAGTTGTCAATAAAATATTTTTTCATCAATGTATTTCTTTTGTTCTACTAATATTACTACAATATTATGTTTTTCTAAAACCTTTAAGAATATACCTCACGAATTAAAACGTAAAATAAAAATTACTAACACAACACTACACATCATAAATGACATTACATATTTGTCTCAATAATGACTTCATTATAGCTGGGTTTATAGAGGCACATATTAACACATTATCATTTCAACTTAACTCATTCCAAAAAGTTTGAAATCAATTATATATAATAAATGTAAAACACTAACTTTAGAGTTTGCATAGCCAAGTTTAAGGAGTTGTAAAGAGATGGCTCTCCATGGCAGGTCATATCTACAGCTTTCTTCAAAGACGTTATGTGTTTTCTAGGGTTTCCTAAAATACAAATGGAATAATTTACTTTTACATATTTATTTATCTTTAATTTTATTTATTTTTTTCATTTTTAGATTTTTTAAATTACAGTTAAGATTCAATATTATTTTGTATTACTTTCAGGTGTACAGCATAGTGGTTAGACAATCATATACTTAACAAAGTGTTCCCCCCATTCATTTACTTTTAATAAAACTCTAGATATATGTTGTAGAAATTTATGCCTCTCCAAAAATTTACATATTTATGTTAAAGAACAGAATCCTTTCAATTTATGTTTTTAGCAACTTACACTTTTGACAGAGATGTTTGTTATATAATGTTTCACTTCATACTTAAAAAATAATATAGCAAGTCCTGACTTAACACTGTGATGGGTTCTGTGACTTCAAGAGAAACAATGTAAAATGAGACCAATTTTACCAGAGACTAACTGATATAAACAAGAGTTAAGTTCCTATAGCATCTCATCAATGTTATAATGAAATGATGCTGAACTTGATATTATTCAAGGACTACTGTACAAATAATCTCTTTTTATCTATTAATACACATTTTAAATAACATTAACCTAGAGTGCATAACTTTTTCTTTTTAATATTTCCCTATTTCATTATTTTTAAGACTGATGTACATGCCCCCATTTTAACCTCTCTGAAATGACAACATGTCCTGCCATCACTGGCAGCCAAGCGGCACCTGTGACACAGGGGTCATTGCCTGCTCCCATGGGAACCTATGAATGGCTATGGAGGTGCTTTTGTTTCAACTGCATTATGGACATTGTTTGTGCTTTTCATGTTAAGTTTAACTGTGATTTAAAGTGTTTTTAGAAAGATTATTAATACAAAAATTTAAATCTTTATGTAGAAAGGCATGGAACAGAGCAATGAGGTATAAATTTGTTATAAGTGAAACAGAAATTCACAGATAGAATAATGCCTGCAATTCTATATTTTTCTTCAGTGAAAAACTCCAAGAGCTTTATAAAACCTAAAAAAGGAGGGTTTCCACAAATAAACAAAGCTGTGTTACCTTCTATTATGGAAATAACATCTCAAAAAGTTAACATCTGAAAAGATTCTCTATCTCAAGTTAAGCAATACAAACAAAGGGAAGAGAAAATGCCAAATTTTTTAGAATAGTTGACAAACACATTGACTCACCAAGAAGCTGGCATAAACAAGTCACATACCATCTTTCCTTCTTGAAGGCTCATAAATTAAGGGTATCTCATAAAAGAGAATCTGAGATTCAATGAAATATGGTATTCTTCAGCCCTGGCTGGGTAGCTCAATTGGTTAGAGCATTGTCCTGAAACGCCAAGGTTATGGGTTCAACTCCCAGTCAAAGCACATACAAGAATCAACCAAGAAATGCATAAATGAGTGGTACAACAAATCACATTTCTCTCTCTCAAATCAATTTTTTAAAAATTATATTCTTCAGACATTTTTCCTATTTCAACAGTCTCCATTATTACTGTAATTAACAATAATCAAAACATCATTAAATTGATTTTATTGTATAGTACAATTCATCAAACTACCTACCTACTGTTGAACATTTAAGTTATTTCCAGGGGGAGAGGGTTTTCAGGAACTACTCTAAAGGACACATGGCCAAAAACCGAGGGGGAGGGTGGAAGCAAGGGAGGGAGGTGGGCTTGGTTGGGGTGGAGGGGAGTGGTGGGGGAAAATGCAGACAACTGTAATTGAACAACAATAAAATAATTTTTAAAAAGTTATTTCCAATTTGCCACTATTACATGTACTGTTAAAGAAGAGTATATTTGGGGGGGGTAAATGCAGACAATTGTAATTGAACAACAATAAAATGATTTAAAAAAATTTTTTTAAAGTATATTTGTTGAGTTAGGTTTTTTCTTCTTTCATAACATTTTCTAAGTATAATTCAGAAGAACAACCATTTTTATGGCTCCCCCCAACCAAATGTTCAACTAATTAACCAGGCTATCAACACTATAAGCACCAGTTTCTCCGTGGTTTAGTAAGCAGCATATTCCTTTTGAAACTTCATTTTCCTAATATAAAATATATAAAACAATAAAATGTTGTTGAGTCGTTTATTTGTTTTTGATCACTTGTTTGGCTAACCTCTCTTTAGGTTTTTTTTTTTAATGCTGGTACGAATTATGTCTTCTTTGTCCATTTATCTACTTGTAGCTTCTTGGTGTGATTTATATGAATAAATTTTAATTTATGTGCTCCTGAAGTGAGCACAGAGTAAGTTGGGGTTTTTTTAAAAAAGACTTAATAGATTTTGTTTTTTTAAAGAAGTTTCAGGTTCACAGCACAACCAAGTACAAAGTATGAAGAGTTCTCATATACCCTCTGTCCCCCAATACACAGCCTCCCCTACTATCAATTATTGAAAATGGTAGTTACAACTGATGAACCTGCACTGACACATCATCATCACCTGACATCCACAGTTCACAGAAGGGCTCACCTTTGGCCTCACCTTATTAGATTAGTACCTTCAATGAAGAGAATTAAGTTTTAAAATGTTAATCATTTGCCATATTTAATATATATTCCAAGTATTTATTCTTGGAATCATAAAATCTTAGAAATAAAATGTATCTCATTAAGTCCAAATTCCTCATTTCACCAGTGAGAAGCAAATCCAATAAGGTAAATGATCTGCCCAAAGACATGCGCCTACCCAGCAGCAGGACCAGCACTCAAACCTACATCTCCTGGCTCTCTCTATCCACTTCCCTTTCTAGCAAAAAATACAAATATTTCTTTCATCTCCCATTGTATTGTATGAGAAATAAAACATACTACACTGCCATCAGTGAGGTTTAGAGCAGTGACTCTGATGGGGGCGGGGTGGTGCCTTCCAGAGTTCTTTCACAATCTGTAGAGAATTTTTCATCTCTATGTGTATGACTTCCTTGGCACACATGGAAAACTGTTCTTAATCTGCGGGAAGAGGCAGGAGCGATGGCCCTATATCCCCTCCTTGGGAGAACCATCCTTTCTCCACTGTATAATAACCCAGCCCAGACCACATGAGTCTGATGAAGCCCACCGTGCTTTCATCCCACTCCAGGCACAGACATGTAACCCAGGCCTACCAACCAAATGCTTCATTCCCTTGGCCAGGCTGACTGTTTCTGGGTAGGCAGGCAATAGTAAGTAAGGTCAATAAGAGACCTCTCTGGGACTTGTGCTAAAGCTACAAACTACAAAAGTCATGCAGACTTCTGTAGTCATAATAGACATCTTTTCAGCTCACAGAAAACCTATCAGAGAATGAAGCCAGACAGAGGTAGGACCCCTGGAAATAACTATATATGAAATCAGCCTATCTTAGAACATGAATAAATAATTTCCCTTTTGTGCCTAAGCTGGTTTGAAATTTTTCTGATTACTTGCCACTAAGTTTGCTGGATCACTCCAGGCTAACATACATTTCACTCCTCACTGCCACAGTGAAAAATTATGAATGATAAAAGTATGTCATTACCTTCATTTGTATTAGTGAGAAAGAACAGTTGAGAATGACATTTAAGAAAAGTATTTCACAGAAAATAAAATAGAACTAGTGATGTAAATTTGTAACAACACACAAAAAAACAAATGAAATTTGCTATTATCTATTAAAAGACTAAAATTCAGTTAGATGTGCCATGAAAACAAAGAAACTGAATCATTAACAATTAAAAAAAATTTTTAATTTATTGATAAGAGAGAGAGGGAAACATCAATTTATTGTTCCACTTATTTATGCATTCATTGGTTGATTCTTGTATGTGCCCTGACCAGGGATGGAATCCACAACCTTGGCGTATCTGGAAGACATTCTAACTAACTGAGCTATCTGGCCAGGACTACAATTAACTTTTTATATTCTTTGCTCTTTAAATTAGAGATTTAGTTTGTAAAAAACTAATTTTAAAATGAAATGGATTTTCTGAATGGTTACACTAATTTTACTACTTTTGGGATGAATGTATATATCTTAAACAAAGATATTTACTTTCATTGAAATACTATTTACCACTGTGTAGAACTCAATTTAAAATACTTCATCTTAGATTCTGAGTTCAATAGAAAGTTTAATAGAGAACATACAGGAAGGCCTAATTTTACTTACGAGGCAAACTCATGAACACGGTTACAAGGCTGGGCACTTAAAGCCAAGCCCTTGAGTCCTGCAGAGGTAATGGATGCATACCTGAGAGTTCTGTCAGTTTTTCAGCTCTTTTACTCTTTGTTACAATAATTCCAATCTAAAAGTAAAATAAAATAATGGTTATTAAGTTAAAAAATTATTTCTTCTTGATAAGAATGTACATTAATATAAATTAGGAATTATAAAAGTAACTATAAAAAAGTAATTATAAAAGAAACACGTAATATCTGAGAAACTTTTTCTCATGATGCTGTTGACATAAATTCAGCTGAGTTCACTGTACATAATTTAACTTTTAGAGTTACTTACTTTTCATTGACAAGTGTACCAAAAACTGGTACATAATCTGAATCACTTAGTTCATAGAACAGATACCCAATGTTTTTAAAATAAATTATATTTGGCAGTAATCTCAGGAATCCAATCTTGAATTTCATTCCTTATACATACCTGACTAATAGGATTTTGATCAAAATACTCCTCTACAAAGTACTCCAACAACTGTTCAAATAAAACAAAAAGGAAATACTAGGTAAGAGCAAAATAGCAACTACAGAGGAACATATTTTGGGAAACTTATTTATCAAGCATGATTTTTAAGTTTATAGCTTTTCGAAAAATCTTCAGTAGTAAAAATATTAAACAAATAATGATAGATTTTTAAATACAAAATAATTAAAAATTAAAACATTACACCTGAATTTGAAATGGTAAGTGATGAGACAGGTTTAAGCTAGGCCTTAAAAGATGGAACCACTGGATGTGTGAGACAGAAGCCATCTAAATGAGGACGAGACCCAGTGAAGGCAGAAAAAGAGAAGGAGCAGAACTGGGGATGGGTTTTGATAAGTCAGGAACAATCTGAATGTATTTATAAACTAAGGAGACTGATTCAAGTAACTGAAAGGAGGAAAAAGATTCAGTGAAGAAAAGGAATAACGAAACAAGATCCTGACTTGGGGGGGAGGGTAGAAGTTAAGGGCATAACATAGCAGTCCCCCTCCGTATCTTAGGGGGACACATTCCAAGGCCCCCACAGATGCCTGAAGCTGCAATAGTTCCTTTCTATACATACATACCTATAAAAGAGTGTAATTTATAAATTAGGCACATAAGAAAAGAACAAAAATAACAATTTAATAGGACAATTATAATAATATACTGTAATAAAAGTTATGTGAATGTGGTCTCTCCTTGTCTCCCTCTCTAAGTATCTTATTGTACTGCACACACAGAGTGGGTACACTGGACAAAGGGATGATTCGTGTCGGCGTGGGACATGGCAGGACAGAGCAAAACACTGTAAGACATCATCACGCTACTCGACATGACATGCAATTTAAAACTTATGAACTGTTTATCTCTTGCATTTTCTATTTAATATTTTCAGACCATAGCTGACCACGGGTAACTGAATCTGAGGACAAGGAGGACTACAGTAATCAGCTATTTTTGTGTATCACTTCCTTAAATGACTTGGTAGCACTTCTACTTAGCTATAGATTATATTAACTCAAACTTAAAAAAAAAGGACTATATCCTTTTAAAAATGTTCTTTTACCTTTAAAGTACATGTCAGTCTATTCGGCTTTAAATCTTGGTCTTCCATTGTTCTTGATCCATCTACTACCACGTAAAGATGGCGCATCTACAAAAAAGAAATACAAAGGAGGACAATTTTCAAACACATTTTTGACCAAGAAGTAAAAATGGCATCTGGTATTCAAATAGTCTATACATATATTTTTAATATATTCTTTTAAAAGGTTTGTTGTTTTACTATTGTTTATTCTATTAAACCAAAATGCTTGACCCCAAAATAGTTCTGTACCAGTAAAAGAAAAAAAAAGTAACATACCATTCCAAGTTGAACTTGTCCATGGTGCTCAAATACTCTGTTAAAATTATGCAAACATTTTAGTGAACTACCATATACTACCACCCCAAAAATCATTATACTTGTTATCTTTTCAGTGAAGCAAATTATTAATTTAAGGAATCCACATTATTATAGTCACTTTAGTTAGTCCCTGAAGACCCATTTCCCTGCTCAGGCACTAGGTTGCTGGCTCCTTTCTTATATTCAGGTTACAAGTCAGTTTCTTTGAAACACCGCTTAAGTTGAGTACTGAGGGGTGGGTACAGGTGGACAGAAAGGCTTAAAGGAATATATTTTACCTTTTGTAACATACTCACAAAAAGTTTACATACCTTTTTCTCTTTGCTTTGAAGAGAATGTCTTCTATTGTAGCTTTAAGTGATCCTGATTCATCTTCTTTAAGAATCTCCCTATAAGCAGTAACTACTTGTTTAAAAAGATAAGCTAAAAATTTATCAATGCAAGAGAAATGAAAACATATGTCCACATAAAGATTTGCATGTACATGTTCACTGGTGCATTATTCTGTGTTCTTTTTTTAAGATTTTATTTATTTATTTTTAGAAAGGGGAAGGGAGGGAGGGAGAGAGAAAAAGAAACATCAATGTGTGGTTGCCTCTCACATGCCCCCTACTGGGGACATGGCCTGCAACCCAGGTATGTGCCCTTACTGGGAATTGAACCAGTGACTCTTTGGTTCGCAAGCCGGCATTCAATCTACTGAGCCACACCAGCCAGGGTAATTGGTGCATTATTCTCAACAGCCAAAAATTGTAAACAATCTAAATGTCCATCAACTGATGAATGGATGAATAATAATATGGTGTAACCAATATAACAAAATACTATATTCACCATAAAAAAGAATGAATTACTGATATATACTACATGGATGAAACTTAAAAATAGCATGTTTTTTTTTAAATTATTTTACAGGGTGGTGGGGGAGAGAGAGACACACACAGACAAACACCAATTTGTTGGCCCACGTATTTATGTGTTCACTGGTTGCTTCTTGTGTGTACCCTGACCAGAGATCAAACCTGCAACCCTGGCATATCATGACAATGCTCTAACCAACTGAGCTACCTGCCAGGGTGAAAACAGCATGTTAAGTAAAAGAAGCCAGATACAACTGACTATATATGATATGATTACATTTACATGAAATGTCCAGAAAGGGCAAATCTATAGAGACAGAAAGTGGATTAGTGGTTGCCTAGGGCTAGAGGTATAAGCTGAGTTTATTGTAAGTGAGCATGAGGGATCTTACTGGGGTGGTCAAAATGTTCTAAGCCCTGATGGGGTAACTCAGTTGCTTGGAGCATCGGCTGTACACGCCAAGGTTGCGGTTCCATCCCCCATCAGGGCACATACAAGAAACAACTAATGACATATAGACACAGAGATCAATGAACAAAATAGAAAGCCCAGAAATTAAGCCACAACTTTATAGCCAATTAATATTTGACAGAGGAAGCAAGCACATACATGGGCTAAAGATAGTTTATTCAATAAATGGTATCAGCAAAACTGGACAGATGCATGCAGAAAAATGAAACCAGACCACCTTCTTATGCCACACACAAGAATAAACTCAAAATGGATTAAGGACTTAAATTTAGACCTCACATCATAAAAATCCTAGAAGAAAACATTGGCAATAAATCTGGGACATCGCTGGTAGCACTATGTTATCTTATCTATCTCCTCAGGCAAGGGAAACAAAAGAAGAAACACCCAATGAATGCATAAATGGGTGGAGCGACAAATCAATGTTTCTCTCTCTCTCAAAATCAATAAAAACTTTTTTTAATGTTCTAAAACTGATTTATGGCGATGAATGCCCAACTGAACAAATTTCTAAAAATCACTGAATTATATACTGGAAACAGGTGAATTTTAACATTTGTAAAATATATTTCAATAAAGTTGCAAAAAATGTCTGAAAGAGGAAAGATTGTAATAATGTTCTACTCACCATGTTCTTTCATAACCTCCTTCCCATCGCTTAGTTCTTTCAGGTTCTTCATCCATTTTCTTCTTAAGTGTATTATATTATTCAATATCCTATAAGAATCATTAGATTATTAATTTCCTAAAGATTTTTGTCACCAAATGCCTACAATTAAATCTGAAAATTCAAACGGAGGAAGTAAACATACAAAGTAAAAAAAAAGTCAGAATGTAAGGTCATCTTATATTCTTGAAATTCACTCACTAATTGTTGGATGAAATACTTTACAAAATCCTCATGGAACATTTTCCCATCCCCAACAGAGGATACAAGTATTTACACACAAATCTGGCACCAAGAGAAGTACCTTCTGATAATTTCTTTAAAAACAAAAGTGCATTGCAGATGTGTCAGAGGACAGGACCACAGATTATGAGAAGGGGGTGTGGATGCTGATAAAACAAGAGGGGCAGGGGCAAAGAAGGAAAAATTGGTTTTATTTTTATTGTTTAAAAAATTTATTTACTTTAAGAGAGAGTGGAAGGGAGAAAGGGAGGGAGAAAAACATCAATGTGTGAGAGACACATCGATGAGTTGCCTCTTGGCCCACAACCTAGGCATGTGCCCTGACTGGGAACAGAACCGGCGACCCTTTGGTTCACAGGCTGGTGCTCAGTCCACTGAACCACACCAGCCAGGGCTAAAAAATATTTTAAAGATTAGCTACAACTGATGATTATTACAGCTGAGTGGTGGATATATGGTGATTCATTGTACTACCTCTCCACCTTTGTATATGTATGAATATTCTCACAATCAATTTTTAAATGAAATTTATTATTTATAAATGATAAATAACAAATAATGTTTATGGCTCATAATTCAAAAAATGACACAATATTAACCTACACTAATCTCAACTATTAAAAGAAAAATAAATATTTAATAATTCAGTAACTATGACAATTTCAATAAATAGGACAATTTCAAAATAGGCTTCATCTGGATGACAGGATTAAGTATGATTTGTTTTTTACTTTATTCTTTTCTGTATTTTCATATGTTTAATATGAACATGTATTTCTTTAATAATCATGGTTAAAATAGGTAATCGGGGGAACCTATTAACCATAACCAAGTAATAACCATTCCATCACATCCCCACCTCTACCCTCTCCAAAGGACTCTGTCTCCCTACCCCACACTCTCACCCTCAGCTTCCTTTGTTCCTAAGTGAAGGTTCAAAGGAATCCTAAGTGCCAAGACATTAGGAACAAAATAAATCCCATCATTGGCAGGGTTAAAAATTATTTTTTATTGTTGTTCAGGTACAATTGTCTCCATTTTCACTCCACCACACAAGATTAATCTTTATGACAAGGCCCATAACCAAGACCTTACCCTCCATTTATAACATTGTTGCTATAAAGTATATACAGGGTCCAGCAGAAGTAACGCCTGCTTGAGTGTGGTTGGTAGGGTAATAAAATGGGTATAATAATTTATAGTATTAATTTGAGTATTTCATCCGTCATCTGGTGTGCTTGAGTGCAATATTATGTTGCAGAATTACATGCTTATGATTTTGTAATTAAAAAGGGGCACTGTTTGTGCTGGACACTGTATTTGAAATTTTAAAGAAATGAGCTACAGACTTCTGGAATTAAAATTATTGACAGATTGGACTGTTTTTATGGCATCACTGTTTTGTCACACCTGCTATAAGTGGATCACCAGATTTCCTGAAACAAGCAAATCTCTCCCCAGCACTGGAAGAAATTTGCTTGTTTCAGGAAATCTGGTGATCCACTTTAACATAGTGAAAATGAGAAATGACTTGTCCTTATTTCTGTGCTATTTCAATAGTCCTTAGTGCTGATACAGTACTAGGCACTGAGGAAATGCAGTGACTTGTAGGTTTAATGATGTGTAGTAACATAGTATACAGTGACTAAATTAAACATTTTGATCCTCCATGCAAGTGTTTTCAATGTTTTTAAACTCAAATTCTTTAATAAATACCTACTGCCATCCATCGTGTGAACCTACTTTATTTCTAGTTTATCACTTTGAATTCTCGGGAAGTTCAGAAACAAAGTGAGAATAAGGACAAACTGCAAGGGGGGCACTGCTGGTTCACTGCACACAAGTACTGTTTAATCAGGCCTGCCTGCAATGGGACACTACATGGAGAGAACAGGTAATAAGCTCCCCGTAACTGCAGACGTTCGAAGGGAAGTTGGACTTTTACAATGCATGCTGTTACTAGAGAAAGGGCTTGTGTATACTGACGAAAAACGTACTTGGTGGCTTCTTAGGTCAGTCATCTCCTGTGACTTCCCAATATTCCATCCTGAAACATCACTGATCTATTTCCTGGGAATCCAACCCCAGAGAAGCCACTTCCCCCAGAGTAAGCCTATTAGTGTGATCCTCAGTGGAGCTCAGAACGAGACCCTGCAAGCGAATGCGGTCTGCACGAAACATCCAATTTATGAAGACTTCCCTCACATCTTACCCTAGAAAGCGCTGTGAGACGGGCAAAGGGAAATTACTGCCCCGATTTTCAGGTGTGAAACTCGAGGCTCAAAGGCTGGTAACTCTCTCGAGGCCACATAGCTGGAGGCAGGTCACAAACTCCAACCCAGGATCTCAATTCTCAAAGCTTTGCCTTTGGGACGTTCCCTCGGGTAGCAGCCCCAACTGCTTCCACGCAGCTCCCCAGTCATAAATTGCCCTCCTCTCCCACACGCTCTCTCACATCCTCATTCCTTAAGACGCTGGTCAGGTCCATTTAGTCTCCGCCCGGGAGAGTGAGATCCTTCCCTGCAGCCGAGATCCCTGGGCGGGCGGTCCCGCCTCCGCTCAGCTCCGGGTTCCACCCGCAGACTCACCGGTCTCGCTGGACGCCGCTCTGCCCGGAAGCCGCTCTGTCCGGAAGCTCCGCCCAAGCTGCTGCAAGGGCGCCTTCAAAGGCCTTCCGCTACGCCCGGAGACCACGCAGAAACGTTCCGACTGCTTCCAGTGGAGGTTGTCAGAGCCGAGCGTTCCGGGGCCGTGGCATCCCGTGAGCTGATGTAGAGTGCGGGAAGGCACCTTTTATTCACCTTCCAGCTAATGACGAGGCGGGAAAAGCGTCATTCGGTCTTGAAGGGTCGGAAGGGTAATGTAGACCCGACAACTGAGGAACATGACTTTGTTTTATTTCTAAAAGGTTGGCAGAGAGAACTCACACCACTACAGCAACAGCAGCAGCTAAACGAGAACCTTGCTATGCAACAGTTTTCTGGGACGCTTCTGCTGCTCCTGCTATTCATGCACCAAATATTTTATTGAACACCTACTTTGGGCCTGATACAGTACTAAGCACTGAGGAAATGCAATGAAAAACGGACCAAAATCCTTGCCCTCGTGGAGTTTCCTTCTACTATATGGAGACAGTTACTAAGAATAACATACTCTAACAAATGGTGATAGTGGCATAGAGAAAAATGAAGCATGGAAGGGAAAACGGTTTGCAGTTTAAACTAGCATGGTCAGAGGAGTCCACACCAAGACAGTTAAACCAAGATCAGAATAAGGAAAGGAGTTAACCACACTGATACCAGGGAAAATCTCTCCAGGTAAAGGAATATGCAAGTGCAAAGGTAGAAGAGCTCTGGTGTGTTTGAGGGACTGCGTAAGAAAGCAGGGGATGAATGGTGGCCCCAGAAATCAGAGATGGGTGGCTCTGAGCATGGTGAGAACTTTGGGGGTTGATGATGGCTTGAACTAGTGTAGTATGGCAGCGCAGCAAATGAGAAGCTGTTGGATTTGCAGTCTTGTCGATAAGACTGGACACGAATGAGGAATCAGTAACTCCAAACTTCTTTAGTTGAGCAACTGAAAGACTGGAGTTGCAATTATTGGGAGGTGGAGCAGGGTAAAATCAGTTCAGTTTTAGAAGTTGTTTGAGATGTCTGTTAATACATATGGAATTATGTATTACCCATGCTCAAGAAATGGAGAGGCAAGGCAACTCAGAATATTTGAAAAAGGGTTAAACCCAGGAGAGAAAGAGCAGAATGGAACTACCTTATCTGGAGCTGCTCTGCCTCTCCATTAGCATCCGCTTTCCCTCGGTTGCCTGTATTGCTTTGCTGGCACCAAAATCTTCCCGTTTTCTACCCTGTCGAAAACAAAAACAGAAGCCATCCCACATAGTAGTGGAAAGAACAGACCTGGATTTAAAATCAAGCCCTGCCACACTCACTGGGTGACCTCAAGCAAATCACCTATAAAACGGAGATAACTCCCATCTACCCTACAGTGCTATGCATCACATAGTGGCCACTGTGTAACCAGCTCCTTTAATTTTCCCCCAGAAGACAAGGTTCTTATTGTTTAGTGTTAGTGGTGTTGTCTTTAAAAAGGAGAGGGGGAATTAGCATTGCTGATTCTTTGCCAGGGCGAGTTACCTTCCATTTTTGCCTCCCTCACATCTTTGACTCCTCCTACAGAATTAAAACTCCACACCTTTTCTTCTCCCTTCCCACTTTCCTCCCGTCCTCCTTCCTTCCTTCCTTCTACAAACTCCAGGCTTTCTCCTTTTTTTTTCTCTTCTTTCTGATTGACGTTCCTTTTCCAAGATGGGATGCATTATTATAAGCCAAACAGCCACAACCCCAAGCTCCAAGTTTCTCATTTACATTTACTACCCTGGGAACTTTTTTAATGGAAAACCAGGGAAAGGACAGAGGACTCCCCAATAAATTTAAGTTAAAGCATATTTGAGAGGAAGCTGAACCATTCAGACTTTCAGCAAGTTTGTAAGTTTACTCTCCTCACAGATTTTGTAGATCTTGACTTACCTAGAAATGGTACTAAAGCAGAACAAAATATGTATAAATCCATGCTAATCCCTTGCTATAATTATGACACAGTATTCTAATTGTGTACAAAGTAGTAGAATGAACGGTCTAACCTAGCCAAATGTTTTAACTTGTAAAACTAAGACACAACTATAAAGAATGGAACAATTTGTTCTTTACTCATAGGTGGCTGGACACAGTCCAGAGTTAGGAAATTGATGAACAGCTCAGTCAGTGGAATAAAATTGAAATTCAAAGTGTGCAACTTTAAAGACTGGGAGAGGTGAACCTGCCTATTCCAGTATCTTTTTATGAAATTTAAATCATTCAAGAAACTCATTAAAAACCTCCAGAATTGCTTTTACCAGTATCTAATCATCCTTATCTTGCTATGTCAACTCTCTTCTTTTAAAGCGTTTGTTAATCATTTATGAATAGTCACAATGCCAAGCCTAATGCAGTTGTCTAGAACTTCGAATGTACACCCTAAAACTGCACCCAACACAGATGAAGCATATAGGGGATTGGGATGATACATAAATATTTAAGACACAATTTGCTTTTTAAAAAGTTGTTTCAGCCCTGGCTGGCGTAGCTCAGTGGATTGAGCGCGGGCTGGGAACCAAAGTGTCCCAGGTTCAATTCCCAGCCAGGGTACATGCCTGGGTTGCAGGCCATAACCCCCAGCAACCGCACATTGATATTTCTCTCTCTCTCTATCTCCCTCCCTCCCTTCCCTCTCTAAAAATAAATAAATAAAATCTTTTAAAAAAAAGTTGCTTCAATTTTCACCTTCCTGCTTTGGGAATTAGATGTAACTGGCCATATTTATTTACTTTCTGACAAGGGCTGGTCTAAGACACACATTAACTACCCTCATATAACCATATTAGGTACAAATATCTCTTTCAAATAAGCAAAATGTGATACAGGAAGGCCATTTGCCCAAGGTCACCCAGCAAGTAATTGCTAAAGGACAAAGCAAGAACACATGCAGGAAAGAGCAAGCAGGTTTTTTGGCAGCAACTAGAGGGTTTTTTTTGGAACACCCTTTCACATTTGTTGCAGACACACACACACACACACACACATGAAAACCATAGTTCTGTGTTCATGTTCTTTTTCTAACTCTAAAGTAGCATTATTTTAACAGTGTTTTCTAAAAACTATCCAGGATACTTGCACATTTTACTCATGAAAACTAGTCCCATTAGAAGAAAAGTTAAGAATATGAAACAGAGGAGGAGGGATGAGATAATTTTCCATCTAATTTATTTGTGCTTTCACACAAGAGAGGTGACAAGGTTAATTGTAGCAGAACCATGAGCTGCCAGGAGATTGAGTTTGAATTTTTATTTCTCTGGCTGAGCCTTTAAAAATGTCCAGTTGAGACACTTCCAATGCAATGCTGAAGAAGGAAGAATGTGTTTATGTTAAGAACTCTCCCCACCCCTCACAACTGAAGCTGAGATCCCTGAACTGATTAAAGAACACTTTTGCCCTGACCTGTCTTTACACATACACTCCTCCATTCGGGTTGTTACAGATTCCTCAGATATTTATGTGAAAGCATTTCATGTTATTAAAAGTACTTAAATGCACTTAAAATTAAAATAGGACATTTTATTAACATCAGGGCAACTCTACTTTATCCAACCCATTAATTTATTAACAAAGTCAAGATAGAATGGGAGTATAGAACCTAATCAACAATTCAGATCATTAGTTCTCTTTACTGTAAAATGAGAAATGGTGGCAAGTCAATAGACTGTTGTAAGAAATTAAATATTTCATTGTGTATATATGTATGTGTGTATAGACAATATAACTTTTACTATAAAACTAAGATTTAAATTTATTTCAAAAATACAAAGCACACATGACAAACTAACACCTGTTATTTTTTCTGGGCAGTGGGTTCACGTATATTCATAGTTTTCTGTATTTAAATTTTTCAAAATAAATTAAAATGTTGATCTACCTTTAATACAAACACCCAGGTAAGGAAACTACTTTATGCAACGAACCTTTACGAAGTGGACCACATGCTTTCACAACAAAATCTTGAACAATGGTGCACAGAGTAGGAAGCAGAATGCAGACATAAGAATCACGGAAGGTCAGAGGTGGAAGAGACCTAATCTAAACTAAACCTCTTATTTTCCAGACTTAGAAACTGCTTGAGTGGCTTTTCAAAGTTATATCTAGCTAGTTAGTATCAATCCCAGCAGAAACCCCCTGACCCTGGTTCCTGAAGTAGTCTTTAGTAAGTACTACATTTGAAAAATGATTTTGTTATTTTATTTCAAAATCCAATTGCACAGCACAATTTTATAATGCAGACATGTATGGCCAAGCTTGCCTTCATAAACCAAGTACATTGACTTCCAAGAACAGAGTTAAAATTTTAGCACACATAAAAATCAGTTAAGTTGCTCAAGAGAGTCGTTACCATTTGGTGTGACTCCAAAAGGTATGAAAAGCATAGACTATTTAGTCATAAGTATGTAAAGCATATGGAAAATGAAGAATTTCTTCAATTTTTTAAATATATGTTTTAAAGATTTTATTTATTTATTTTTAGGGGAAGAGAGACAGACAGAGAAGGAGAGAAACATCAATGTGTGGTTGCCTCTCACATGCCCCCACTGGGGACCTGGCCCGGAACCCAGGCATGTGCCCTGACTGGGAATCGAACCGGCAACCCTTTGGCTTGCAGGCTGGCACTCAATCCACTGAGTCACACCAGCCAGGGTGAATTTCTTCAATTTGAAGAAATCAGTGTTACAGTGGAAACTTTACTTAAAAGTTTACCTATGGACCCTGGCTGGGTAGCTCAGTTGGTTAGAGCATTGTCCCAAGAGGCCAAGGTTGTGGTTTCAACCCCAGTCAGGGCACAGACAATAAGCAACCAATGAATGCACGAATGAGTGGAGCAACAAGTCGGCATTTCTTTTTCTCTCCTTATCTCTCCCTCTTCCTATCTGAATGACTGAATTGCATACTACTAATGATTAATTATGGCTTCATCAAAATATTTTCACCAAAACAGAGTTCTAAACTGGGGGGATGATCAGTCAACTTGACTAGTGATGTGCCCAGTATTATCAGCTAATTTTACTTTACTAATAAAAGTATTGAGATTTAAGCACACAATTTGAAATATTTGATGTTTTGTGATACTGGATTCTAGTGTCAGACAACTGGCCTTCTTAGAGCTGACAGACTGGGAAACAAGCAACCAGTGCAGCACCCAAAGTACTTTAAAACAATAACAGATACCACTGCTGAGTGTAGTTTTGTACAGCTTAAAATTAACAGCTCTAATGACATCCAACAGGCATGTTATATAAAGAAAACACTTGGTTTAATACCTTGTAAAATAGGTACAGAACTTGAACATTCCTGTAAGATGCATTTCAAGTCACAACCAAATTACAAATGTAATCAGATACTCTAATATAATGAAAGGCCTAGTTGGTTTTTTTAAAAAAGCATGTAAACCATAAAAGATTAAAAAGTATTTAAAAATACACAAAATTCTAACCAGTGGTTTTAAATTTTGATTTTAAAAAGTAAATATGTATTTACAAGCTTTAAATTTCAAAATTTGTTTACTTTTACATGATCTTTATTACCAAGATAACATAAAACAATAAAAAGCTCTTTTAACCATTTATACACAGAAAAATATCAATAGGGAGGTTGGTAGAATGCAATATCCACAGTAGCTAAAATGTGAATGGCCAGGGACTTTATTAATGGAGTCATAAAACAGACTTAACCAAAACTGCAAGCTAGGAAAAAAGCAGTTTCACTTCATTGCAGGGACCCAGTTTCCTCATCTGAAAAGGAATGATTATAAATAATAGTTATGTGAAGGGAGCATTCTGGGAGGATTAAATGAGACCACCTATTCAAAATAATGAAGTACGAAGGCACGACTGCCTAGGGCATGAAAGTTCACAGCACAGTCCACTCAGCAACCTTCCTTTAAGGTCAACAGTTTAAAAAACTCAAACAACAGTTCTTAATAAAAGAACCGAAGTTGAAAGCATAATATCCTTAATTGGAGTGTTCAGCACAGTTGATTATCAAAAGGTACTTATAAAATGCTTCAATACCAATGATATTAAAGCTACCAAAACTTTGTAATGGTCACAAAGGTTTGGCCTCTCCGGTTGGAGTCCAAAGTCATTTTGCATCCTGACAGCATCGCAGAGACGCCAGACACCTCTTAACCACTCAGACGATCTGGATTCTGCCTTCTGTCTTCCCTCTGTCATAGTCTCCAACCATTTTCTTGATGTGTGACAACTTACTCTTCAACTGCTTACAATAATTCCTTTTACTTTTGTAATTTGCAGACTAAAAGGGAAAAAATGAAACAGGTAAATTTAACAATATAAAAATGAGTTCTGTGTAGCTGCTGGGAGGGCAGAAGTGTAGCGAAAACCAGGGGGAGCACCAGTCAGACAGAACTGCTGGGAGTGTTAAACGACGTGACCTACACAAGCCAGCTGGTGGTATCTCAGACCAGACAGGCAGCTAATTCTCTTCGCTGAACTCAAGGTCTTCTAACCTGAGTTCTACAAAGGATACACTCATTTCTAATGATTTGCAAAGTGACAAAATACGCTTATTGGCTTTTTTGCTAACACAAAGATCATCTAAAAATTCAGTAAAACAACAAACCGGTGATATCAGTTAACTTGGGAAAGAGGAACTGGATAAATGGCGCATGAGACAGGAAACTGTACATGCTTTTAAACTCTTGCATTTAAACTGATGTTTTGTAATTTTAAAAAATTAATATAAAATATTTTCAGAACAAAAAAACATCGGAAGTCAAGAAAAAGTGATAATGGCAACAGGAATGCACACTTCTCAGTGGGTCCATGAACTGGTGCAAGCCAGGAAAGCTGTTGGACAGCACCAGATACACACTTGCCCAATGACCCTACAATTTCACTCCTAAGTATATACCTAACAAGTGTGTGCACACATGCATAGACACTTAAATGTTTGAAGCTGCACTGGCTGTAAAAGCCCTAAGCAGGAAACAACCCAAATACTCATTAATGAAAGAATAAATGAGTATGTTGTGTTTTATTCACAAAATAAGTAAAAATAAATGATCCACAACTACATGCCAAAACATGAATGGATCTCATAGTACTGAGCAAGAAATCAACCCTGGCCAGGTAGCTCAGTTGGGAGTGTTGTCCCGATACACCAAGGTTATGGGTTCAATCCCACGTCAGGGCACATACAGGAAGCAACCAATGATTGCACAAGTAAGTGGAATAACAAATCAATATGTGTGCATCTCTCCCTCTCAAATCAGTAAATGCATCTTTTTTAAAAATCACACATATATGTTCCCAGTTATGTAAGGTTTAAAACAGGCAAAATTAATCTATAATGTTAGGAGTTGGGATGGTGGTTACCTCTGGAAAGAATTTAAAAACTGGAAGACAGTACAAGAAGGAATTGTCAGGGGTACTAGGAAATATATTCTTTGATCTGAGCACCAGGTACAAAGCTGTGTGATTGCTTTGTGAAAATTTACCAGGTTGTACACTTAGATTTGTGTACTTTTCCATATATTTCCAACCTTTAAAACGGTTTTAAAAAATCAGTATTGGTTGCAATGACAAACAACTGAAATTAAGGTTCCAACTTCTTGGGTATTAATTTATCTTGCAGTCATTGGGCCTTTTATCTATAATCAGTGCGTGGGTGACAAGGGATTCATAGTCATTCTAAAGATTAAAGGAAAAACATGTAACAGAAAAAGTCTTCCTAAAAGAATCTTACAATATGGGATACTTACTCCTTTAACTTCCTTTAGTCTATTGTATTCATCAGCAGCAGCCTATTAATGAGAAACACAAGGGAATATATTCAATGGCATATTTCCTCTTTCAAAAATAACATTACTAATGCTATATTTTGAAGTTAAAAATGCAAAAAAAAACAAAACAGGAAATTAAAATAACAAAGTCTTAAAGCTCTTAAAGCTATCATGGTCAGGAGGCAGCCCAAGGAAGCTGGTGAAGAGAAATCAATATCATATTTTCCGTTCCGTTCACATAGGCAGGTCACGACTTGTTCTGTTGTCTCTCCTCTTCCCCTGTGCCAGTCCATTTGCCACACTGACCCCACAGAGGTCTTGTAAAGCACAGCTCTGACCAGGTTATATCCCATTATAAAACTGGTCAGAGCTCCCCATTAATTCCTCTACTAATCTCATTTCCCACCTTTCCAGCCTTAGCTCCCATCATTTGCAATTCCTTTTAAAAACTGAGCATGTTAATGCTTCCAGATTTCTACCATGTTTTCCTTATGGCTGTCCTCATGTACCCCTCCCCAGTCTGGGGGAATCTGCAATGGTTACCTTGCAATGAAGCCTCTCCTGAACTTTCCAGGCCTTCATCAGACCTTATTCCTTCCCCCAGCAATCAGTTACAGTACTACCTACACATTATGTGAATATGGCATTAGTCACATTGTCTAAGTTGTTTAGATGTCAGTTTCTCCCTTAGGGTATGAGCTCTTTGAGGGCTGACACAGGATTTCATTTATCTTTCTCATTTCAGCACTTCTACAGCAAGGACACAATAATGATGCATAATAATTGTTCACTGAGTTGAGAAAGGTTTATAATAACACCATACAACAGGCATAAACAACTGTTAAATTGAACTATATAAACAAATGCTTCAAAACTGAAAAAAAAAAAATCTCCCCAATTAAAAATAGCAAAGAGCATTTTATAACATGAATATGAGGTTCCAATAAATAAATGATGTGATTAAAAAAAGTTTAGGTACTAACATCTAAGATATAAGGCAGCAGTTTTTCAGGCACTAAGTACTGGTGAAATGTATATCAGATGAGCCCTCTAGAGCATCATTAGCAGGAATGCGGCTGATATAATCTTCCTGGAGGTAAGTTTTGCAATAAAAATTTAAATGTACATAACTTCTGACTCAGCAATTTTATATTCTGGAATTTGTTCAAGCTAAACAAATATGCAAATATGGAGAGGTTCACCAGAGTATTACTGGTACTACTGAGTGGGCGGGGGCAGGGGGTAGACATACCTGAATGTCTACTCACAGAGGATGACTTTGTTTTTTTAATTTATTTTTAGAGAGGGGGAAGGGAGGGTGAAAGAGAGAGAGAGAGAAACATCAATGGGAGAGAGAAACATTGAACAGTTGCCTCTTACATGCACCCAGTCAGGGATTTGGCTTGCAACCCAGGCATGTGCCCTGACTGGGAATCAAACTGGCAACGTTTTGGTTTATAGGATGATGCCAAACCCACTGAGCCACACCAGTCAGAGGCAGAGGATGACTTGTAAGTAAATTATGATAACCACAGAATTGAATATTGTATAGCTATTTTTAACACACAAAATTTTTTTTTCAGTAAGTACTGTATTTTGCCATGCATAATGCACTCCTGTGTATAATGCATACCCATAGTTCTGTGTGCATATACATGGGATTATTATACCCATTATCATACCCATGTATAATACACATTCTTGTTTTACCCTCAAAAACTTGGGTAAAAATGTGCGCATTATACAGCAAAATATAGTCATTCTTTATTATTGATATGAAAGGATAACCATAGGCTGTTGTTGAATACAAAAGCAGAAGAGCTCTGCCTGAGTGGCTCACTTGGTTGGAGCACAGTCCAATACAACAATAAATTACAGATCCAGTCAGGGCCCATAGCTAGGTTGAGGGTTCGATCTGCAGTCAGGGTACGTAGAGAAGGCAACCAATCAACATTTCCCTGTCTCTCTCTGTGTCTCTCCCTTTTCCTTTCTAAAATCAATGAACATATCCTTGGGTGAGGATTAAAAAAAATAGGATGTAGGCAGTGGCAGAAAGCATTTAAAAAGAACCCCCCCCCACCCAATGATGGGGGTTCACTGAACAGACAAAAGAGGCAACTGAAAGAGTTCCCAATGGTCACAGCTATAACAATGCAAGCAACAAAATAAAGTAGTATATGATTATAACCCATAGTATAAACTAATATATCCATGAATTCATGCTGATGTAAGTGACCAACTAAATAAATTAAAAAATGTTAGAAGTGACACATTTCCCATGCAGAGGAACTCCAAATAACCTGTGTAGGTGGTGTACTGCCTTTAGCGAGCTACAGCGTAATTCCCAACTCCTTAGGTGTGATCGCTGCAGCGCTACTTCCTTCCTCAGAGTATCATGTGGAAGGGGGTTAAAAAGGACAGAGTAACTTTCTTTATACAGACAAATACTCTCTCAGCCAGGTGATCACGGGAAAAAACAAACAAAAACTATTTTTGAGTAAAAAAGCAGGAAAGATCTAGATAAAACACGTAAGAGAATTCTTTATCAAAGATGGTATGTGTCCAGGTGCACTTCTACATGGAGGGGCTAGTTCAAAAACTAATGTTTTGGTGATAACCAGATGATGGAATTTAAGGAATTTATACAATTCCATATTGTTTGAATTTTTTACATAAAAAACGAACTGGGTATATAAACAAAAAATAATATAGTTGTTTTCTTTTAACTAGAATGGGATATATGTACATAGACTATTACTTTGTAATTCTTAACTCCATTAGTATTAGCACACTTTTCAACTTGGAAGACTTTCATCCAAAACTCAATTTTAAGTATTCTTCAATGAAGTTACCGTTTGATAATTACTAGCAAATTTTGTATCAACATCAGTATGAGGGATACCGGCTTTCCACAGATCAGAATAAAAGTATATGTAATATAATATTAATTATCAAGTTTGAATTTACCATGTACTCTTCACTTTCTTCTCTATAGTCATCCAATTCTTTATCCAGACGAGAGAGCTCTTTATTGATCTCATCGAGTTCTGCTTGTAAGCGCTTGTATTCCTGCAGGCCAGAGTCGAAACTTCGCTTGTAGAGTTGTCTTTGATGATCTGAAGTGATAGGTGGATATTCCCTAAAAATTCAGTGAGAAAATGACTATGTATCCTCAGCAGACATACATGCAGTGTATGTATGTAACATGCAGTGCTTCTTCCTCAAACATAAAACTGATGGGATGCAGAGAATGACATTCTTGTTTCTTTTTGTAGCTTATGGGGAAGAGGAAAGTGGGTCGCAAGTAAGTTCTATTAAGAAGAATTATACTTTAGACACCACTGATCATGTGTTTTTTTTTAAACTATGCCTACATAATTTTTAGAAATAAAGTTAAAAACAATTTATAAAATTTCAGGTTCAAGTCATAAGAACCCATTTATTCTGAATATACAACATGATAATGCAACATATGTTTAATGTCTTACAACTGGAATTCGTGAATAGGAAGGATGCTGTCACCACTGCAGTGACAGAGCAGCTGACTGGCAGCTGGCTATTTTCCACCACCACCTATATGGTTTTCAGGATGTTTTGGGGCATGGGGCATTTTTTTTTTTGGTTGTCGTTCTTGTTTTTTTATCTTGGTTTGTTTCTCCTAAGTGGAAATAGCTGAAGTCCTTTCATTATAAAACATGCCTTAAAATGTACATGTCTAAAAATGCATGCTCATTGTACAAATAATTTGGCAATGCATTAAGCTACGGAAAAAATCTACAATTCTGATCACTTGTATCTCTCTCTCAGTATACCAGCTATTATTTATATATGAAGATAATGCTATTCACCCATAATCCACGGAGGAAATACTGAGTTGTTTAACACAACTAAGGAACCTCACAGCAATATGAAATTTGCAATTTTAGATTTAAATCACTCCAATATCTTCATTTTACAAAGAGAAGAAATTAAAGGATTCGTTAAAATGGCAACAAGAATTCAGGATTTCTAAAAGTAAGTATTTCATAGACAAATGGCTGAAGTAGGCCAAGAACCCTTAAGGACAGAGGGGGAAATGAGGTATGAGAACCACCAGTGAGTAGAGGAATTCAGACTATACACACCCCACCATGCCTAACACCTTGAGAAGCAATGTTTGATTAATCACCATCTGCACCACAAACATTTCTGGTTTGTGCCCCAGTCCTCACAGTGCTCGGGCATAAAAAGGCTGCCCATCAAACACGAGCAGAGTGGGTGGTGGTGGACTAGAACGAAACCACTGGCACACACACAAAGGCACTTCACCACAACCTTGACCAGTTAACATTAGATTGTTAACTGTTTACAGAACTGTTTTCCCAAGTCCTCTGGAGAAACTTTTAAAAGAATCTCTGGTCTCATTGTGAAAGCTTAAAAGTAAATGCCGAAGAAATGCCATACATAGCACCGGTCTGGGGACTTTATAATCGGTAAAATAAAGCTTCTCTTTACTTGTATTTTATTTGTTGGAAAGGCCTTTCTTGGGTGACTTGGTAAAGTAAGAGCCCTGGTGAACTTTGTCAGCCATTTAGTGGGGGCTGTTGAAAGTGTTTTTAAGCCACGGTTACAGCCAAACCTACCCCCTCCACGCCCCTTATGACGAAAGAGCACTAAGGAAAACCACTAAGTCTCCAGTCTTGGCTGGGAAAGAACGGAATTATACCATCCACCCCAGTTCAGGGGGCAGGGGCTCCACAATGTGAAGACCAGCTGTGCAGCATTCTGTGTTCCGGCACCAGAGGCCAGCGTACCTGACCCAGTCTTCCTCCAGCTCCTCGCAGGACTCTCCGCCCGTCGTGTAGTCCGTCTCATAGTGGTCCTGCTCTGGCCTCTTTGGCTTCCCCGCTCTCCTCTTTGCAGGAGCCCTTTTAGCAGGTGTCTCCAAGTTATCATTGCTGCTGTAATGAGGCTGCCTGAAGTCATCCATGGGCGAAGTCACTGGAAGTTCCTGTACCACTTCAGGCACCCTAATAAAACAGGGATTATTGTTCAGTGATCACTGGGCACACGACAAGGCTTTGCCGGCACACCGGAAGCATGAAGAGCAGCACAGTAACTATTAGGAAATCTGTTGGGAACCACCCTGCCTGGTTTCAGAAACTGTAACCCCCATGGCTAAGGCTGAGTAAAAGACCTTGGGACCATAAGCCGCTAAGGAGACAAAGCTTATCTTCCCAGCAGGGGCGCTGCCTCGACCCCCTTTACTTCACCCTGCTTGGCCCCGGGGAAGATGACCTGTTAGCCAATGATGGGTAAGATTCATCAAGGGAGTGATGACCTAAGACAAGCATGGTTACAACTGAGCCATCAGGGAAGGACTTGGGGGACTATAGAAAAAGGGGGTGATGGACCCTCTCCCGTCGGCTTTGACATAGCCTGAGTGCTCATTCTGTCTGTGACAAGTCTCCTAATCTTTTGGCTGCCCGCAACCCCCTCTGACTTAAGCCTAAAACAATGCCAGAGGTGGGTGTGGCCCTGTGCTGGAAAGGCTGGTTCCAGGGGCAATCAGCTCCTAAGAAAAGAATGCATAAAATCCTGTGAAACCTGCTTTGCTAAGAATGCCCTCAATTTAAAAGATAAGGGTCCAAGCATAAAATGAGTTTGTTTCCCAAAGTTTTAAGGCCCTTTGGCTAACTGACCCTGACTCAGAATAAGCCCTCCTAGTTCTTCTTTTTTTATTACAGGCATTTTTTGGTTTGTTTTAATTTTTATTAATTTTTTTGAGAGAGGGGAAGGGAGGGAGAAAGAGAGGGAGAGAAGCATCAATGTGTGGTTGCCTCTCACGTGGCCCCCACTGGGGACCTGGCCCACAACCCAGGCATGTGCCCTGACTGGGAATCAAACCCAGCGGCCCTTTGCTTCTCAGCCCGTGCTCAATCCACTGAGCTACACCAGCCAGGGCCCTCCTAGTTCTTTGTATATTATCTATTTATTTGATACTAACTTCCTGACAATGATTGATGAGCTTTATTGTATATACGACCTGTATTTCTATGCAAATTAAACCCAATAAAAGCCCACTGAGGAACAGGCTCAAGGTCTTTCTCCTTTGAGAGATTGGTCACCTTTCCTCCCCAAGCACATCATGTCTCAGTAGACTTATTCTCATCCATGGGCGGGGAGTGGGGGTACTTTGGGGGCAGATCCCCCCTACAGAGATCTACACATAGGTGCATTCACTCAAGCAGTTCACATGTTCAACACGGAGCAGATCCCTGGTGTTGGGAACTGCCCTGCCTGGTCTCAGGAGCTGTAACCCCCCATGACTAAGGCTGAGTGAGAGACCTTGGGACCAGAAGTCACTAAGGAGACAAAGTTTATCTCCCTGGCAGGAGCACCACTTCTGCTCCTTGCCTGGCCCCCATTGCTTGGTCGGTTAGCCAATGACAAGTAAGATCCCTCATGGGAGGGGCCACCTAAGACAGGCATGATCATGTGGGAAGGCCCTCAGGGAAGGACTTGGGGGGCTGTGGAAAAAGGGGGTGATCAACCCTTGCCCCTTGGCTTTGACAAAGCCTGAGTCCTCATTCTGCCTGCGAGAAGTCTCCTATCTCTCAGCTGCCTTGCCTCCTCTGCCTGACTCAAGCCTGAAACAATGACAAGGGGCGGTGCAGCCCTGCACTGGAAAACAGCGGGCTTCCAGGGGTGATCAGGCCTGAGAAAGGATATGTAAAATCCTGTGAAACCTGCTTTGCTGAGAATGCTCTTAAAAGGCCCGGGCAGGCCCTGGCTGGCGTAGCTCAGTGGATTGAGCACAGGCTGCGAACCAAAGTGTCATAGGTTCGATTCCCAGTAAGGGTACATGCCTGGGTTTCAGGCCATGACCCCCAGCAACTGCACATTGATGTTTCTCTCTCTCTCTTTCTCCCTCCCTTCCCTCTCTAAAAATAAATAAATAAAATCTTAAAAAAAAAAAAGGCCCGGGCAGGAAATGAGTTTAGCCCCTTAAGTTCTGTAGCCTTTTTAGGTGATAGACCACAACTCAGTGTGAGCCCTATTAGTTCTTTGAACGTTACCTATCATTTGATCCTCACTGCCAGACAATGATTAATAAGCTGTATCTGTATTCCTACCCAAAAAAACTAATAAAAGCCTATTCAAGCAGGTTGGCTGGTACTCTCCTCTTGAGAGAGTGGCCAGGCCACTCCAAGGCACCCTCCCCTTGAGAGGGTAGCCGTGCCGTCCCTTTTCCTCCGCAGGACTCAGTAGTCCATGTGAATTTCTCTCATGTCTCGTCCATCCACAGCACCGCAGCTGCAGCTGGCTGGTGTCTGCGTCACCCTGGTGTCCTGCATTCAGTGTGACACCAGCTCAGACCCTCTAATGCAGACAAGCAGCCTGGAGGTTCCTCTATAAGAGGAGTGCATTTGTAAACCTTCTAAGTAAAATGGATCTAAGGTTTTATTTAGGTCAGGCTGATCTGGAAGATGTGCTCACCTGACCTGTGCCAGGGACATACTCCACAAGAGGCTGTCAGGAAAGTAATGGTCATGAATCTTTGCTACAGATTCTCAGAATGTTGAGTGGAGAAAAGGAATGCCCAGACAGACGTACTCAATGCCTTTGGAAGCGGACTCTGAGACACAGGTCTTTGTAATGTTAACTGTAGAGTCTTACACATCAACTATCTTTTCAAGGTATTTCAAAAAGCTAAAAACACTAAAAGTTTAAACTAGAAAAATTAAATCCAAAAAACTAAAAAGCTTTATATCATAAAAGATAAAAAGAATTCATTAAGACTTTTTAAAAAATTGCTTTGTTAATCCTGAAGCATCAAAGAATGGATGAAATGGAAGGGTTATTACCATTACACTTACTTTTCTAAAGCAATCATTCAATATTGCATCAGATTTTTCATTGCATATTAATATTTCTGCTACAATCTTAAAACTGAAGCTCAACATGGAATAAAATACCAAGAGCTCTGACAACTGCACACCACTTCTGAGTGCCATAAATGCAATGCTCCCCTCTCCCTTGTAGCAAGAGCTGGAGAAGGGCAAGAGAAAGGAAAGGAAGATAAAGAAAGCACCTCAGACTTCCCACCACTGAAGACATCTACAGATTTTCTTTTCTTATGTCTTTCAACTTAGCAAAACTATAATCTTGAGCTTTATCAGTAAAGTTTGCTCTCTTTTCTAGGTGATCCAGGACTGCTTAATCCTGGATGTCAAAGTCTAAAGCTTTGGTGTGTGTGTGTTTGCAGTTAGGGGTGATGTTGGTATTTATTTCTTCTTTCTAAATTTATTCAGGATAGCATGGCTTTGTGTGCTATGTTAACAGTACTTGTAAAAAAGGGAAAATGTGACTTTTTCCATGCGTTAATAATTAACCAAGTTCCTAGACACACTCACTGCCTTCAGGTGACAAACAAAACCTTTAGCATGCATTCGGTTTATCTGAGCAGATGGGAGCCAGAAGGGAAGCAAGCTAAAGGGCAAAATAAATTAGAAAAAAAAATTATTAAGTCCTGGCTGGGTAGCTCAGTTGGTTGGAGCATCATCCTGATATAACATGGTTGCGAGTTCAATCCCCAGTTCAGGGCACATACAAGAAGTAACCAATGAATGCATAAATAAGTGGAACAACAAATCAGGTGTCTCCGTTTCTCTCTTTTTCTCTCTCTTTCCCTCCCTGTTACTCTCTAAAAACAACATATTAAATTTAAAAAAACACATTAAAGCAGGCTTCCTCCCATAACTTTTTATTAGCTATTGATATTATCAATTTTCCACCTCCCCTCTTCCTACATCCTTTGAAACGCTAAGGAGTAACATACTTCATACAGGATCAAAGCTGAAAACAAAATGCTTAGCAATAAAAGTATATATATATATATATATATATATATATATATATATATATATATATATATATATATATATATATATATATATATATTTAAGAGCTAGAGAATATGTATACTCCCAATAATCTTGGGACCTACTTTTTTCTTTCAAACCTGCTCTTAGACACAAGTCCTACTGCTGAGAAAAACATACACAACCCAGAACAAGTAACCGGTTGTATACTTTCCCCAGTACCCAACTCGGTCTCCCAGGGCTGGAAGTTTCCCCTTTTGTAGCTTTTGGATTGATTCTTTTTTATTCATTTGTTTTAGTCTCTCTCACACACCCTCACATGCTTTGCTGCTCTTATCTTGCCCCAAGTCTCAATGTAGTTATTATATACTTTCTTCCACGCCTCTTAGTTTGCAACCTCTACGAGAGCATGGTCTTGGTATTCCCAGGGCAACTGGCCCAGTACTGTGTGTACATGGCAGGTGCTCAAGGTAATTATTGAACTAAAAACAGTTACAAGAATCCTGGTTTCTGACGACACCAGTTTTAATGAGGGAGAAACAACGCATGATCAACATCACTGCCTTGACTGCCAGAATGATGTCCATTATACCATTATATACATGGTTGTTAGAACTGTCACCACTATTGGCGGGGGGGAGTAACTAAGCCTTGCTAATCAGAGAACTTCATCTTCCTGACCTTGGAGATGATAATGACCCAAAAGAGCCAGTCGGAATCTTTTCAACAGATCTGAAAGGCAAGCTTTGGGAAAGGGAAATTCCTTTTCTTGATCCTGGGCTGGAAGATCAGTGCAGCTTGAGGAATGTGGATGACCCATCCAGTTACAACTGAGAATAAAGGCAACATAGTGACAAGAGCCCTGATGTCTCCTGAGTCCCTGGATCATGCCACGCCTGACTCAGACCAGTCCCAGGGCCTTACGTGAACCAGCGACTTCCTACCACTCACACAAAAAGCCCTCACAGATAACCCCACCAGCCTATCTGCTACTGCCAAACAGTGGTCTCTTTTCTGTCACTCTAGGGTGTCATCTTGCCTTGAACACTCTCTGTAGTGTCAACACTCAACTTCCAGGACTTATTAAGGTTAATTCACCCCGAGTGTGGACAGTATAGTAGAGAGTGGACCTCACAGGGCTCTCCCAAATTCACTTAGAAAGGGTGAAGTAGCAATCATCTTCAGCTGAATTCTGCTGTCATCTATTCCATGAGTAATTCTCACAGCACTCAAATTCTAAGGTATAGGACATTATGATGAGAAAGAAGAACCAAATATGAGAGTAATTACTATATAATTCCATTCAATAACAGTTCCTAGCCGGGTAGCTCAGTTGGTTAAGAGTGTCATCCCAATCACCAAGGTTATGGGTTTGATACCCAGTGGAGGCACAAACAAGAATCAATCAATGAATGCATAAATAAATGGAACAACAAATGTGTTTTTGTCTCTCTCTCCCTTCCTCCCTCTCTCTAAAATCAAAAAAAATAATAACTCCAGTAACAAGCTAAACTAATACATGGTGGTAAGCATCAAAAGAGTGGTGGGGGGTAGGGGTATTGCTGACAAAAGGACCCGAGAGGACCTTTGGGAGTACAGTTTGACCACATCGAATGAAAGTAAATACGTCATTCCCTTTAGCCCAGCAGTTCTGCTTTTCCTACAGATATACTGACATATGTGTAAAGTAATAAGTGTGCAAGTTTATTCCCTGCAGCAGTCTGTAATTACAAAACAATGGGGAAATACTGTGCATCAATATGGGATTAATAAAATAAATTACTGATGGAATATTATGCAGCTGTGAAACAGGCCAGTAAACTTTTTGTATTCCAATATGAACAACTCCAAGATATACTGCTAACAAGGCATTTAATATGCTAGTATTTTTTAGCCCTGGCTAGTATGGCTCAGTGGACTGCGTGCCAGTCTCCAAACCAAAATGTACCTGGTTCGATTCCCAGTCAGGGAGCATGCCTAGGATGTAGGCAAGGTCCCCAGTTGGGGGTGCACAAGAGGCAACCAATTGATGTACCTCTTATACCTCTGTGTTTCTCTTTCCCTCTTTCTCCCTCTCTTCCCTGCTCTCTAAAAATAAATAAAATCTTTTAAAAACATAATATGCTAGTATTTTTTTTTAAAAAAAATAACCAGCCCTGGCTGGTGTAGCTCAGTGGATTGAGCGTGGGCTGCAAACAAAAGTGTCACTGGTTCAATTCCCAGTCAGGACACATGCCTGGGTTGTGGGCCAGGTCTCCAGTAGGTGGCGCTTGGGAGGCAATCACACATTGATGTTTCTCTCCCTCTCTTTCTCCCTCTCTTCCACTCTCTAAAAAATTATAAAAATAATAATAAAAAAACAAAATGAAGGAAATCTTACCTTTAAAAAAAGAAAAAAGTAACTAATATTCATATTTGTCCAGCATTTTGTATTTAAAAATAACCTCTGGAAGGCTATAAAAGAAACTGGTAATAGTAGCTATCTCTAGAGAGAGGACTTAGGGATCTATTTTTCCCTTTTAAATTTTACATTATGAATGTATTGGCTTACTCAAGAATAAATAAGATTTTTAAATTGTTCCAAATAAATGTGCAAATACTCAGTTTTTAGACTCACTCTGTCAGAAGGTTCTACTTACAGTGAACCTATCTTGGTTTTCATGAAAAGGGGCAGCACATGGGAATGCTGTGTGACCATGCAGGCCTTACAGTTAATTTAGAGGCACAGCTGGTCACATGCATTATAGACACTTATTTTCTATGTGTGAAAGTCCCGTAAATCATAGCTTAAAGCTTTCATAAGGATTGCATTGCTACTATGTACCTGTGCCTTTATTGCCCTCAAGTGCATTGGTTTTTGTTAAAATCTGAAGAGAAGAACAGAGAAAATGCTCTTCCTCCAAATCATTCACAACTGAAATGAACAGCCAGGTTGATTCTGCAGAGTAAAGCGAAATGTTTGGAGGGTAAGGCAGACTGCCAGTGTGTTTCCAAATTCCACTGCAGGGTAACAATCAATCTATTGTCTTCAATTGACTCCATAATTAACTCAGCAGCTGGAGTCACTTTATGGGGTTTCAGCTACCCAAACTGTGCCCTCAAAGTGGATCTCTATGTAACCCAGCCCACTAAATAAGGGTGTGGGGATAAAACTTTAAAAAACAAAGTTTTCTAGCAGATACACCTTAGTTCTCTTAACTAAGAACAATCAAACTAGCTAAAGGGAAGGTTTCTTTCTTCGGTCTATAAAGGAATTTGGAGTTCTAGAATTATATATAGCAACAATAACTTATCATCCTTAGGCAAAAATTATATCCAAGTCCTTAACAACACCTCTAGCATCCTTCACTCACCAGTCATTAAGCTGAATTAGAATTAGTGTTTAGGGAAAACTGAAACCACAATGGTGACACCATTTCAATAACTATAATGGCACCTACTCCAGGCCAGAAACTCACTATGAGGTTTGGTTTGATTTTTTTAATCCTTACCCAAGGATATGTTTATTTTTTTTTAAGAAAGATTTTATGTATTTATTTTTAGAGAGAGGAGAAGGGAAGGAGAAAGAGAAGAGAGAAACATCAATGTGTGGTTGCCTCTCACGTGCCCCCCTACTGGGGACCTGGCCTGCAACCCAAGTGTGTGCCCTGGCTAGGAATTGAACCTGCAATCCTTTGGTTTGCAGTTTGGCGCTCAATCCACTGAGCCACACCAGCCAGGGCGAGGATATGTTTATTGATATGAGAGAGAGAGAGAGAGAGAGAGAGAGAGAGAGAGAAAGAGAAACACTGATTTGCTCTGCTGCCTTCCATATATGTGCACTGACCAGGGATCAAACCCGCAACCTAGGTAAGTACCCTGACCAGGATTCAAACACACAATCTTTCAGTGTATGGGACGACATTCCCACCAACTGAGCCACAAGGCCAGGGCATTATGCGGTTTTTTACACTATATGTAAAACAAAACCTAAGGGCTTTATCAGCAACATGGAGGTTCTAGCACAGCAAAGGAGATCTCAGAATTCATGAATTTAAATGAAGCCTTATACTTTAATAAAAATGTATGTGGACAGAGTTGATCAATGAGCAATGTCCTCTTTCTGTTGAGTAAAGAGTGAAGACAGGGAAAATATAAAGTAGAGTCATTTTAACCAAGCTACTAAATTATTTAACATTATGAAGGCTGAGGCATGAAAAAATGATTCTTTTTCTTATCTTAACTTGCATGGGATCTTCAACTTTTGAACTTTTCAGGCCTGAGCCAATACCTAGGTAATGCCCAGACATCCATCAAACTTATGGATAGTCCTGTGACTACCCCCTAAAGGATTTAGGACAGGACCAGACCTCCTGGTGCCCATCCTCCTGACCACCTGGCATCTGTCATCCAGATTGCCTGACATCTGACTGATACATGTCCTGGACTAGTGAGAGGGCTAAGAACACAGGACTGATTATTCTCAAGGTTGTGACTTGTACAATAAGAACTCTTAACTTTTCTTTCTTCTTTGGAACTCTCCTAGGTTTTTACCTAGCTATGTTACCAGTTTGCAAATTCTAATACCCTTGAGTAAATTTTTATCACTTATTTCTAGCCAAAGCCTCCTGACTGCACTTATTCAATACTTTTAATGAGATCTAATAATTATAAGCAAAAGGAAAGACTGAGAAATGCCCTTTAGCTCTGCTATCCATCAGTAATGTCCTTTTACCCACACCTAAATTGAAAACCTGAAGCAGGAACGAGAACCACATTCCTAGAGTGACAAAACCTAACCTACCGTCTACCTGTTAAATCATCCAGAGAAAAGCACTTTCAGCTTGGAAGGGGAAGAGAACCCGACCACACAATCCCACTCTCCTTATCTTCCAAATAACCCTAGGTATTCACCTACAGTGCCACGATGGGTCTCCAGCCTTCATGCAAAGTGTTGGATTTCTTTTTAAGATAAATGGCACAAAATAGCACCTGACTTATAAATGTGCAAATACTCAGGTTTTAGACTCATTCTATCAGAAGGTGCTACTTACGGCGTTGATTTATAGGAGGACTCCGGATACACTCGCTTGTCACTCACTCTGCCGTTGGAGGAGTAGGCCACGGGACTGTACACTCCGTCCACATAGTCCGAAGGGGAAGGAGGCATGTCTTGAGTGCCTGCAGACACGTTTTTAACCTAGAGAAACAGCCCCAAGAGACACAGTTATTATTTAGCCTATAATTTAAAGGGGGAAGAAATGGAGGAAAATATACATAAAATGATCTAGTATTTATTGGGCTCATTAAATACTATCAACCTGTAATGACCGCTTGTTATTATTAGTGGTAACAGTCAAATCAGTATCTTTACAAACACAAGTCCAGAATGAATTACAAAGAAGGGGAAAAAATCCCAATTACCTCTCATCCTGATGGGATTAGGTGGAATAATTACCCACCTAACTGCTCCCCCCCACATTAGGAAGACTAATCTCATTTACCTAGGCGAGGTCTGTGTTAGGTTGAGAATTTTCATTTCTAACAAGTTCTAGGGTAATGTTTATGCTGCTGTCTGAGGACCACACTTGGAACTCCTCTTAGCTAGGACAAAGGACATTGGCTCTTCCTAATCTATTCGTCGTAAATATGGGCCATTAAAACCACAGAAATAATTAAACTCCAACTGATTACTGCTATAGTTCCTTAATGAGATTTGTGTATTCTGCCTTAACATACATTCTCAATGGCTCTATTATTAACAGCCTATACAGTACAGTCACAACGTTGTTGTCAGCCCTCTCTGCTTTCCAGCGAGTTTGTCCTAAGAATGAGTATGTATTAGAGACTATGCTTTGTTAACATGAAAGGTTTCGCACAGAAACTTTGGAAGAAAATTTTAAATTAAATAAGTATAGCTGATTAGATTCCCAACATTGTTGGAGTTCATGAAGTAGATCCAACATTCTTTAAATTTCACCTAAAAATTTGACCTGGCTTGTGTGACTCAGTGAATTGAGGGCCAGCCTGCAAACCCAAGGGTCACCAGTTCAATTCCCAATCAGGGCACATGCCTGGGTTGTGGGCCAGGTCCCCAGTGGGGGGCCTGCGAGAGGCAACTACACGTTGATGTTTTTCTTTTTCTCTCTCTGTTCCCCTTTCTTTAAAAATAAATAAATAAATGAATGAATAAATAAATAAATAAATAAAATCTTTATAAATAAATAAATTTCACCTAAAAATCTTTACATATTACTCTGTAATTGACAGAAAAAAAAGCTACACCCATAAAAGTCATTAAGCTGTTCAAGGTAAAGGAATAAAATAAAGTACAGGAAAAAAATTAAAAGTAACTCTATTAAGTTATTTCTGTGAAAAAAAAAAAAAAAAGAAACTTTTCAAACACAGGGAGGGTGGGGCTACTTTAGCTTGGTGATGAGAACAATGGCATCGGATTACCTGGGCTTACTCCAGAGCTGCCACTACAAGTTCTGGAAAGCCTCAGTCTGATCCTCTGCAAGAAATGGGGAAGCGACCTGCCTCACCAAGTTGTTTTAACAATTTAGTGCCATGACAAGGTACATATTCAGCACAATGCCTTTATGTAAAAACTAAAATGCTGGATTCTGGAATTAAAGACATTAGAGCTAAACAAAGTATTTTTCTAAGTATTTGAATGTGACGGCAGACTTTTAATTGTATTATTTTGCAACTGTGAATACTTGCAATTAGGTTCAGTATCAATACAGTGTATTTCCTTGCAACACACATATTTTACATCTTGTTTCCTGTTAGGCATGGCATCATAACATGACCTGCTCCTTTTCCTATCGCTGCAGTATCACATGTTGAAGTATTTATTTATCCACCCCTCTAAGGACATGAATGGAGGTCTTCTTGATTGTTTAATATTCCCATGAGTCAGAAAGGAATGAAATCATTTCCTCTTGAAAGTGGAGTTTGGCAGCAACTGGGAAACCAGTGGGTGGGCTGCCAGGGAGTGTGCTTAGATCCCACCACAGGGGGGTGGGGTGGGGGCCACTCTTGGCTCCTCTGATGAATTCCTTAGGACTTGACTCCATCACCAAGCTTCACAGGCAAAAAGCTCTGCCAAGCCAAAGGCCTATTCCTATTCTGGAGACTTCATCAGAGTTCAAAAAGACTTCCTTTTCTTTAAAACTCATTTCACATCTTGCCCTGGCTGGTGTGGCTCAGTGGACTGAGTGCCAGCCTGCGAACCAAAGGGTAACTAGTTTGATTCCCAGTCAGGGCACACGACTGGGTTGCAGGTCAGGTCCCCAGTAGGGGGTGCTTGAGAGGCAACCACACATTGATGTTTCTCTCCTTCTCCTTCCCTTCCTCTCTCTCTAAAAATAAATAAATAAAATCTTTAAAATAAAAAACCCATTTAAGATCTCTCCAGGTTCTTTCCCTTTAACAACTTTAGCAGATGCTCAAAACTGACAGATTTCCAACTGACTCACAAACAAGAAAGCAAAACCAAGGTGTGTGGGTGTCCTTGTAGAGACCTCTTACTGCCTGGGATGGAATGTTCTTCCTCTTTCCTTTGCCAGCTAATTCTTAATTGGGCTTCAAGTCTTGGCTCACTACCAAAGATTAGTAATGCCACTATCTCTGGAGACCTTCCACATGTGTCCCTGCTGGGTGAGGCATCTATCTGTCGTCCTATCTCCCCAAGCACCTGTGGACACAATCCTCCCACCCACCACAGCCCTTCTGCACTGTGGAACAATTGTTCACACACAGTGTAATGGCTTGCTCCCATATCTCTAACCTCAGTAGGCAGTCACCTATTCTAAAAGCCATCTCTGTCTGCCTGCTTACAATGTGCCAAATGCTGAACTGATACATCATCTAGAAGGCACAACCTTACAGGTAAATACTATGATTCCCTTTTCAGAAATGAGGAAGCTGTGGCTCAGAGCTCGACAACTTTCCCAAAGACCTATACCTAGTAAATGGTAATGTGGGATTTAAATACAGGCCTCATTGGGAAACCTCTGCTATAATCCACCACCTCTCCCTGGGCAGTCCCCTGCCTTCCCTTTGGGTCTCCAAAGCCCTGCATAGTCCCTGGCACAAATCAGAAATGCAGAGTTTGCTACACAAAGGTTACCTCACTCACTGCCGCTCCACACTGTAAGTATCCAAAAATCTTATCACATGAGCAGCTGTGAGCGACCTTATCTCTGAACCAGCAGGACTGGACTCACTCGTCCACTAGCTTCACCCTCCGGCAAGTCTTTGGTTACTTGAACCTTTTTTATAAATCTGCACAAAAAATTCCAAAGTACTGTTTGCTTTGGCAGAACATATACTAAAGTTGGAACAATGCAAAGAAAATTAATTATTAGCACGGGCTCGGCAAAAGGATGACATGCACATTTGTGATAGGTTCACATTTTTAAAATGTCCCAGACGTGGTAAACACACGATGCAATATACAGATGATGTATTATAGAACTGTATACTTGAAACCTATAAAATTTTATTAACTAATGTCAGCCTAATAATTTTTTAAATTTTTATTTTGATTGGTTTGAGAGAGGAAAAGAGAAAGAGAAACACTGACTTGCTGTTTCACTTGGCTGTGCACTCATTGGCTGATTCTTGTCTGTGCCCTGACTGGGGATGGACCTGCAGCCTAGGTGTATTGGGGCAGCACGCTAAGCAACTGAGCTACCGAGCCAGGGCTCACCCCAGTAAACGTAGTTTTAAAAGAAATCCCCAGACAGATTCAAAAAAGAATAAGCAGACTGTGTCCTTAAAAGGAGCTTAAGATTCTACAGGCAGAGACAAAACATATTTGTAAAACGAGGAGTAAGGTCTGTTTTTTTTTTCCTTTTTATGCTTCATTTTTTATGAAAAAAAAAAGCTAAAATATTACTTTTTTCTCATCGTACCAATGCAAAATGAGTATAAACCTGCTGCTTTGAAAGGCTAGGCGAAGGAAGGGGGAGGCCCCAGTGGGGAGGGGAGTGACCATGTATTAGTAATTTATACAGGGAGTCCTCAACCTGTGTGTCCTAGGATTTCTGAGCTTCACTCTTGTTACTGATGGACTCCCCACCCAGCCAACCCACAAGACTTGATGATGTAGTTCAAGTTCTTTAAAACACATATACATACTAACAAAATCCTCACCATTATAATCACTGTAATAAATAAAATTTGTTTAAAAGATTTAGAAATTGAGAAAAATTAGGCTTCTTTTTTTAAAGGTTTTATTCATTAATTTTTAGAGAGAGGGAAAGGAAGGAAGAGAGAAAGTGAAACAATGTGTCATTGCTTCTCACATGGCCCCCACTGGGGACCAGGCCTGCAACCTAGACATGTGCCTCGACTGGGAATCAAACCAGTGACACCCCGGCTCGCAGCCTGATCTCAATCCACCGAGCCACACCAGCCAGGGCAAATTAGGCTTAATTCTAAACAGCCAATGGTGAGCAATTTTCCTCAAGTATTTTGAAAACAGATATGAGAAATTAGAGTCAGAAGTAAAAACATGAATTAAGGCAGATTTGTCTTCTACCAAGTACTGAGGGGAAAGAAAAGTTGGAGAGTCAACATTCCAGAAACCAAATGCTGGAATTGTTGCTCTGAGGCAGAGAGGAGCCTGGGAGGTGGATCCAGTGCTCCTGACCCCAGGGCCTTCCAGGGGGAGGAGACCCAAGTGAAGGGGGAAGCAAGTTGTGGGCAGTGGAAATCCACCCAGCAGAGCCCTCCAACTCATCTGGGATCTGCTGGAGGAGTCCCTGGTCCTTCAAGCACCCACCCCCCACAGACAGACTATAAAAAAGGGAAGCATAAGACAGCAGAGGGAAAGACAGGCGTACACTTCACGCAACCAAAAAATGACTCGGACTCACTCTTGAGACTAAATTCAAAAAGGACAAGCACTCACACAGACCTTGTTTAATTCAAGGAATATGTATAATTAATTTAGAGCAAGACACAGGAAGTTTTACTAAGATTCATATTTCAATCCTGCAAAGAACAAGAGTGTTTCTGAAATGTCAAAATGAACTAAATTCAAATGAAATAATTTCAAAAGCTCTTCACAAGAGGTACTTAGGAGGACAAAATTTTATTCAAAATTTAATTATACTCATTACAAGTGTTCCAATTATATCACATGAAAGAAATCTTTGTGGCGACCTAACACTCCTTCTTGAAAACACCCTAAGTCCCCATGGGGTGCCCAAAGGACAAAGCGGGTGGCTCCCTCCAGCTGCCTTCCAAACCCCTGCCATCACCGCACCTCCTCACCTGTGACACAGGTGGACAGACAGAATAAAAAACACAATGATTCAGGGCCCTTTGAAAGCAAGTCCGTCCCCCAAAACAAAGCCTGGGGAAAACACTTCTCTCCATGCAGAACAACTCCATGTGTCATTTGGAATCAGCACAAGCAACGTGAGGGACAAGAGCCATCCCCCATCTCCTCGTCCTGTATTTATTCCTGCTCACTCAAGGGAGAAAGAGTCAGTCTCCCCCTGCATCCAGCTGGTGAAACAATTTGACAAAAGTTGCCGCCTCTAAGCGTGAAATGGGAAGTTCATCTGTTGACTACGGTGTATTCCTCACCATTGCCTGAGTAAATACAATTATTTCCACTTTCAGATGAGGAAATTGAGCCTTTGTGTTTGAATTAATTTGCTCAAGGTCACACAGAAAGCAATGTGGTAGAGAAGGGGGGTTTGAACGCTGGCCTACCTGGCTCAAAAGGCCAGCTGTTTCTCCCACCACCTAGTAATTTAAATGTGGCTTGAGGCACTCATCTTGTCTGGGTACTGACTAGTCCCTGTAACATTGCCTTAACTCCTCACCACACCCTGATGAGATGTGAGGTGAATCCATTTTGCAGAGTTTTATTTGCCTGTTAGACTAATGTTGTAAAAATAGCTTCTGACACGAAATTTGAATGCTGCTGCTTCCGTCACCAGGCTCCTTTGTTTGGGCCAGAGTGCAGAAACACCACCCTCCAAAGGGAAACAGAAAGACTTTTCCTGCTTGATAATTACAACAGAGAAAGACAACAGACAAACCTTAATCTCAAAGTACCATCTCCAGTTTTACCACCTGCATCCACTTTCAGACCAGTAAGTGGTTCAACTCGTTTTTCCTGTTTTATGATATTAAACCCACAAGATGCTCCCCACAGCAAGAGCCTCAAAATTGCCTCCAGAAAGTTCCCTCAGACCTTTCTCCACCCTTGGCCTCTTGACAGCAGATGCTCCCAAATGTACTAACCCCACGAATGAAGACATCATGCATGGACCAGGCTTGAGCAAGTCTTAATAATTTCCTGCTGATCAAATGGCACTGAAGATTTAGCAAACGCTACGTCGCCAGCCGAGACGCACGGAGCCCATCATGTACCAACAAAAATGAATTCCGAAACTCCCTAGGAGTCAGTGAATTGTTAACAGAGCTTTGGGAGAGGGTGAGCTGCAGAAACCTTACAGTCAGTGAGCAGTATCATTCAAGCACTCCTTGCTCTAGAAATGAAAATCCTGGTGCAGACTGTATTTTAATACCTGTGCATCTTACGCCAGTGCTCCCCAACAGGAATGCCACGCGTCACAGAACACCTCAGTCCTCAGAGCCTGTGGCCATCCGTCAGTCACCTCCTGAGGTTCCAAATCCCCTTCGGTTTACTTCAGTACTCTCTACAACATTGTTATTTAGTAAGTGTGCCATGACGTGAAAAAGGCCCTATGCATACCTGAACTTAAACTGGGCCTGCCGCCCTGCAGGACAGCCATTCTCAAAGTGTGGTCCCCAGACCAGCAGCAGTGTTACTTGGGAACTCATGAGAAATGCAGATTTTCAGGCCCCATGCCAGAGCTACTGAATGAGAAACCCAAGGGGTGGGGCCCAGCAAGCTGTTTCAAGCAGTCCTCCAAACGATTCTGATGCTTGCTGAGGTTTCAGAACCACTGACCAAGGCAGACAACTGCCCTGTTTGGACCATTACAACTGTCACCTACAGTTAACATAATATTAATTCTATATAGTGCTGGAAACCTAGGAATTCCTGCTTTCAGAGAGCCACGAAGATATCATCAGCTTCAGCACATATTCTGCCTCCATGACGACTCTCTAAGCCAGCTCTCCAGAATGCTCAGCCTGTCCGCCCACCCTTTTATTCACAGGGCCACCGGGACAGACAGGGCCTCTGTTCTCCGTGCTGGTGGGTTCTAAAAGTCGGTCGACAGAAAAGGCACTTCCACTTCCATTCCATTCCATTCTGACCCACCTGAGGCCACAGGTATCAGTTAATTCTTTCCCAGGGTGAGGGCCTGGTATACCGATTAGTCACCAACCGACAGGACCGCTTTTACATTAAAGAAAGCTTGTACTGGTTGAAAATTAAAAAGCTATTCAAGTTTCTTTAGATGTCTAATGTTGACTGCCACCACTGTCCTGTCCCCGTCACCTTCCCCAGGCACATCTGCCTACCCATCCTGTGTGCAAGGAGGTAATGTGCAGGGCCTGCCTATGCCCTTCAGAAAAAACAAAAACAAAAAACAAAACAAACTGTTTTTATCAGAACTTGTAACAAGCTTGCAAGCTTACAAATAAGGGGAAAATTAAGTTAAACTGCACCCAACATTAATTTTAGGTCCTCTTACCCAAACTCCCTTATTTAAGCCCATCATTGCAAATGCTAACAATTATTACTCCTAAAATTTACTGAGCATTAATAAATTATGTGCTGGCCTGGACTGACCTAAGACCTTCAATCATTACAGAATCAAAAAATCTATAGGTGGAACTTGTATTTTCCCCATTTATACACGAGGAACCTATTAAATAAATAGACAAAGTGACTATCTCCATCCAAGTCCAAGGAAACCAAAAGCTCCCCAGGGCTGACCACAACGGACAACCAAAGGCCCTGGCCCTTCTCTCCCCCGAGCCGGCTCATCCTCACTAGCTCTTACCTGGGCAAGTAAGTACTGGGAGCAATGCAACATACAAGTTGTATCACAATGTCAAAGCCTGAGAAACTTCTAGAAATAAAACTACCTATGTAACATTTAGCTTTAAGTATTTCCTACTTAAAAACGGACCCTTGTTAAATTTTGCTTACTACTTGGTAGCAATGGAGAAACAAGTTTATGGCATGTTCTCTCCAAACCCAGTCTATGCCTGCTTCTGACGTAACCATCCTGTGCCAGTACCAAGAAAAGGTGCCAATTGGGAGACATGCAGAAAATACTCACTGAGAATCAGTATGCTGATCTATAGTACAGACAGGCTTTTTACACACGCATTATCATTTTAAATGTGTTAGTTCTACTAAGTGCAGTTGAACCTTGAGCTAATGCAAGGATGAGGAAGGCCAGACCCCACCCCCCAGTAAAAAATCCACGTATAACTTAAAGTGACCCTCCCCGT